GACACTGCAATGTTTTTACAAAGAGGATAAAGTATTTCTGAATAACTATTGTTTATGACCCATGGGCACACTGCAGAAGAATGTATTCAAAAACTCTTGCTTACCATGACAAGGTTTCTGTGAAGAGACAAAAGTTGATTGTAATTTTTATTTCTTGCACTTTCAGCAGTTTTCTTTTGCAGATGCCAGTAGCCCTGGTCTCTCCCTTCTCACAGCCTGCATCAGCTGCTGGTGCTGGCACCAGCATTGCACAGTGGTGCTGAGTAACCCCACTTCTTGCTGCATGCACTGATGCTAGCTCTGACTTATGTCCAGCCACAGGTCTGACATTCCACAGCATGTACAAAACATAACATTAACTTGCCACACTACTTAATATTTTCCACAGGCTGCTGACTCTACAGATATCTTGTAACATGAACATTCATGTGAGATGCAGAAAATAGTATTCATAAACATAAAAGCTTGAAACCTTCTATTTTAGTGGTGTTGGTTTTTTTTTTTTAACATTTATAAAAATAGAATCAGGTCATTTCTCAAGAAGTCAGACACCAAAGCACAAGTTGTGGTAATAGATCAGGCTATACATCATCTCTGTGTGTATTCTTCCAAATCAGTGTGCATACTTGAATGGATTTTCAGTTTTCACAGGATTTAGAAATGTTCTCCCCTTCCCGAAAGCTAAAGTTAAAATACTGTTCCTTTGAGTAACGTAACGTTGGTGGATCTGTACCTCATAATGTCCACATAGCCCACTGTATGCAAATAAAATAAGTATCAATTATATGTTGGCATTTGGATTACTTTCTCAGAACGACTAGGAGAAACTATGACCATGGACTGTATGTATACAGCTAAAGCTAAACCCACGCTTGATTTGTCCTTGAATTTGCATGTTGTCCTAACCCTCTTGTATCTGGTTTAGAAAACAGTGCAGTACACCTCTTAGTCACAATCGCTATGTCTCAAACGATGGGAGAAATGTGCTAGAACAGGTCCTGCTGCAGGGGCGTGTGACTAGTCCTGTTGCTTTCTAATCCCACTCTTGTCATTCCAGCTTTCAAAAGGTACTACGTTATAAAATTAAAATGTTTGTGGATATCTTCCACTGTACATTCAGAGACATGAAAAAATAAAATGTATGAAATAGTCATGTTTTATTTGCTGAATGTTTGAACTTTTCCTGGCTGTAAAAGGTCTAGCTTATGAGTCTGACTTCCAAATAATTTGTATTCTGTTGTACTTCTAGTTCCGTCCTCCCTGGCATTCTGTGCACATTAGTTAAAGTTTCCAGGAATAAAAAGGAAGAGAGACATCATTTCATCAGGAGCCTAACAATGAGTACCTTAGAATAACAAGGACTCTATGTATCTTGTAAGAGAGCAACTTTTGAGAGTAATTGTACCGGATTCTTCAGCAGGGTGGAGACTCAAGAATCCTCTTACAGATGTTCCCACTTTGAGCCCTCGACTCAGACATTTCTGTGTGTGGTAAGCTCAGCTTCAGAAGCAGTGGCACAAGTGTCACAGAGCACTCTCAGACCTGGGAGCTGCAGCTCAAAACTCTAGAGCTAAAAAGGACCTGATTTTTTTATTTCCCATTTCTAAAAGGGGTGTTGCAGCTACAAGCTTATTCAACAGAAGTTGGGCACACCCTTCAGTTGAACACTTGATGTTACTGAAAGGAGTTGGGTGCAGCTTAAGTGTGCAGGTGAGAGCAGCTCCCACGTATCTATCTCACTGAAACAGAATACAGAAAACGTTCAGGGTCCTCTGCTTACAGGGAGGGAGGGACCTTTGTGGCCCCAAACAAAGGTGCTGCTTGATTTGATGTACCCCCAAGGTTCAGGCAGAAATTCAGAGCTGCTCTCTGAATCTTGGCTGCGTAAAGCATTCCTAATTATGGGTTAAGCAGACTTTTTTAAGGATCTCAAACTAAAGTTGAAAAAAAAAAGACAACCTCAAAATCTAATTCAAGGATTTAAATAGGAGTGACCAAAAGCCCTGATTTTTTTTTCTTTTTCTTTTTTTTTTTTATGTATCCAAAATATTATATTTGTTTGCATGGTGTTACAGAAGGGCCCTCAGGGTCAAACTCACATACCTGTTAAGTAAGAGTAACAAAACACGCCTTTTTACTTAAGCAATGAGCATGGTATGAGTCCATGGGACATGGCAATTAACATCAGCTGAATATGAGGGATTTGAAAGCTGCAGTTACATAATCTGCAGCTGCTACTTTCTGCCACCTGAGGTCCTCTTTTATCCCCGATCAGTAGTGTAGTGCTGGTAGAGAACATTACAGTATGTACAAGAATAACGCACTGTTGAGGTGTTTCTTTGCAATTCTGAAAGTGAAAAATCTTCTCAGAAAGCTTACATAAAGCTGTTTGTATTGACTTGGGTGTCAGCTACTAGATTTAGAAGCATGATTGCTGGGTTTCTGGTAGTTTGTCTCTTTTCTTTCAATGCCCCATATTGTGCTTTGTTGATGGTTTAGCTGCTTTGTTAATATTCAGCAAATTCTGCTTTATTAACGTTTTAATTTTCAATACAGTTCTCTTCCCCCCTCTGACTTGAAAAACATGTACTGGTTTGTGAGTGTGGTGCCTAAAATGAACTTTCAAGTTCATTTCAAAGCAAAGCAAGATGAACACAGGCATTTGGGACGCGCAGTGACTTTAGCAATTCGGAGTTTGGTAACTTTTAGAATCAAAGGGTTCTCTCAAAGACCTTTCTACACTACGTTTCTGATAGTGAAAAAGGTTAAATTAAGTGTATGGTGCCTTTCTGCCTATATGTTATGCAGTGTATTTCACAGTCAATGGTGCTTTTCATGTGGTTGCCAGTTTAAACTATCAAAAAAGGCAAGCAAACCGAAAAAGTAAACAATGACTTTCTCCTTTAAAAAGAAAAAAAAGTGCACTTTCCCCTCCTTGGGAAGGCCTTTGCAAATGAGTGCAGCTTTAGGTTAGTCCCAGCAGCATGTAAATCAGCTAATGCATTTCTTGCCCCTCCAGGTCTCGGTTAATTATTGCTCTTCTGCATGTTGTTGGGAGCACTTGCATGTGTGTTTAGTGAGCCATGAAAGGATATTGATCTGGCTGAAAAAAAAAAAAAAGGCAAAACAAAAACACAACTTTTTTTTCTCTTGTTTTCTTTTTTTGGTAGGGCAGGGGCAGTGTTGCTCTGTGAGCTACCTCGCTATCTAACTGTCCAAGTAACAGTAATGGCGCAAAAGAAAGGGTGCCAGGAGGGCTAGGATTAAGAGGCTAATGCCAGAACTCCTGAAAGTGCCTTTGCCCTTGAGAGAACGCTTGCTGAACCGCGACCTAATTGCTGTGCTTTATTCCAAGGGTTTCTGTGTTTTGTAAACTCAGGCTTGAAGAGAGGCTCAGAAGTAAAACACAGGCCTGGTGACATAACATCTCCCTGCCTGGAAGCTTGTGTAGTAGTTTACAACAAGTGGCAGCAAGGTGGTAATTTACTCCTCCTTGGGTTTGGACCCGATGTGCAAAGGTTTGAGCTCAAAGGGGCCTCGCGTTTCCTGGCTGGAGCACACGTGCCATCGTTTGGCAGGCACAAACAAAGCCTCTTTTGTCTTTCCTTATGGATTTCTTTGCAGATCTAGTTTTATGAAGGAGAGATTATGCTTGTGCATTCACCTATTCAGAAATATTGTGAACTTGTAATGTGTCACAGTGACAGTGTGATGTGCTTCACGGCTGCGGATAGCAGCAGCTGGAGAAGCTACAGTCTAAGGAAGGGTTTGCAGAGCAAAGCAGTATCTGTCATTTTAGACTTATGAAGAAAACCATAAAAACCTTTATTTTCAAACAAATTGCTTCAGATATAAACAAATAGGTGTGATTTTTTTTCCCTTTATTTTTGGTGGCACCTTCCTTGAGGTTTGTATCGGTTATATATGGCTTAGGTGAAGACTGTGTGTGTGTGAGGATGTATTTTTATTCGGAACCGAACTAAGTCGTTCTCAGCACGCAGTTTTTATTCCGTGTCCTTTTTCCCGTCAGCGTGCCGCCAGCCGGGCCCCTGAGGGCTCTGTTCCCCTCAGCCCCGCGTTACCCCATGGGCTGTAACGCAGCGGTGCCCGGTGAGCGTGAGCTCGGGCTGGCAGGCACAAATGCCACTGGCATGGGGGACGTTGGAAGCATCTGAGAAGTGAACCCCTGCTTGTCCAGTTTTATTTATTTTCCCTTTTAACCAATTTCGCCGTTTTTTCTCCTGTGGAGCCGGGCCTCCGCTCCGCCCCCCCCCCGTCCCCTCAGCCCCCCTCAGCTTCCCCGCCCCGCTGCCACAGCAGAGCCCCGCCCCCCGCCCCGCTCATCCAATCGCAGCGCTCGGTGGGCGCGGCCCTCGGCCTCCGCAGCCAATGGGAGGCGCGGCTGACACAAAGTGGCGTTCTCTGCACGCGCTTTCAAGGCCGGCCATGAGTGACAGCGGGTGCACCCAATCACAGCGGAGAGAGGCGGGGCTAGCCCACGCTGCAGCCCAATAGGACTGCGGGAGCCGGCCGCGGCCGGCGGAGCGAGAGTGACAGCAGCGCCACCCAATCACAGGGCACAACCCGCGGCCTCCGCGGGCGGCGCCAGCCAATGGGCGCCGGCGGTGGGTGGGGCCGGGGAGCGTCCGCGCTTGTGCCGTGCGATTGGGAGAGAGGGGCCGAGGGAGCCGGGCCGGGCCGGGCCGCGCCGTGCGTGCGCGCTGCACGAAAATGCACTCGGATGGCGCCGCTGTCAGTGAGTAGCGGCCGGGCCGCCCCTCCTCCTCGCGGCCGCAGGGGGGCTGCGAGGGGCCGGGGGGGGCCTTGAGGGGCCGGGGAGGGGCCGTGAGGGGCGCGGGGCCGTGACGCAGCTCCCCCAGCTGGGGGGGGGGCGCGCGAGAAACGCTGGGGGGGGGGGAGAGCGCGGTGCATTGTGGGAGCTGGAGTCCCGCCCGCCGCCGCCCCCCTGCGCGGGGAGGGGCCGCGGGACTACAACTCCCAGCAGGCCCTGCGGCGGCGCTCCCCGGCGCCGCTTCTCCCCGGCGGCGGGGCTGCCGTTAGAGCCCCCCAACCGCCGCGCGCCCCGCCGGCCTTCTAGAAAATGCGCCCGGGGGGGCCCGGCGGGGAGCCCTGCCCCAGGAGGACACCCGGAGGGCTCCCATAGAGGCACGTAAACCGTAAACCGCTCCCAAGGGGCTCCGGCGCTTCCTCAGGGCGGGGGGTGAAGGCTGCGCAGCGATTTTTTTTAAAATTTCTCCACAGAAAACAAAAATTGTGCCTCAGCCGTCAGGTGTTGCTGCTGCCCTTTCACAGCGGCCCCTGGGGTATTCGGATCTCCCTCCCCAACGTCTGTATATATATATATACACGCTCCAGGCAGTTCGTTACCTGCTCTATGTGGTATTTAGCAAGGAATGTTTTCCTGAATTAACACGCTTCGTTATCAGTAGATTCATAGCAGTGGTTTTTTTTTTTTTTTTTTATTAAATGCTTGCACGGTTAAGTGGCAGAACGTTCCTTGTGATCCTTCTCTGCCCTTGTGATGTAAGCTGCTGTTGCATTTTTTCGTTTGTTTGTTTTTTCTTGCTGAGACTGAGCATAATGCTTCTCCACATTAGATGAGACGCACAACTTCCCTTTTCTCCATTGCGAGTGTTTGGTTAAAAGTTTCTTCAACTCCAATAAGAATAAACAGAAATGCCTTCTGTTTGCGAGGAATGCAGTAAGCTGAGTTAGGCAACTAAGCAGTCCTCTCGCTGTCTCTTATTTATTCTTTTGTATCAGCATGGGTTTTTATTTCTGCTGTTTCAGCACTTGATTCACATTTGATTTTGTCTGAGTAATTTGTGTTAACTTTAGGTGAGTTACTAATTCTGTAATTTGCTTTTTTCCCCTATCACTTTGGAAATAGGAAAACAAAGACTTTTTTTCCCTGCATCTTGAAGTAGAAGAGGAAATCATGCTTGATTTCTGTAAAATGCTTTGCAAAAAGTGAAGTGCGAGGAAGTAATATACATCCCATGAAAATGTGCAACACTTAAATCCAATTTAAATATTAGGGCACTTAATGGTGATGGTGTATTTCTTTCTCCAATGAGTAATACTACTAACAAAGGCTTCAAGCAGAAGCCTTATTTTAAATGTACCTGCTTGCAAATCCCAGAGAAATGTTTTTTTTTTCATGTTGTCCAACTAAAACCTTTTATTTAAAATGTTAAGTCTGAGATTAAATACAATATCTCATTTTGCCTTGTAAAGTGGTTTAAAAAAGTCCAACAAGCCACATCCCAGTATGTGTATTTTATTTTATTTTTAAATATACATTGTTGTTATGGTCATAAGTCTTTAATTTGCCATCGAGACTGAGCTGCCGTGGCATGTTTCTGTGCCACTTGTTGCAGATGCATGGCTGTACAGACCCTGGGACTCTGCCTACAGCAGGGGCTCGCTGCTGCCCATGAGATTTCTTCTTCCACTGCTCCGCTGCTCAGGGGCTTTGCAGGAGCGCTCTCTAATCCGGTCAGTCAAATTCATCTGGGTTAGCTCTTGCCCCCTGATTATGGTGGCTGAAGTGACACGTTAGATTTTTGCCTGCAGTGGATTAGGAAATGGCCCCTACTGCTGGCAGAGCTGTGGGATCTGTAATTTTGGCAGCTGGGGCAGTAACGCTGGGGTCTGGCGTGGCTGTTCATAGGCTGTTGCAGCTCCCTCATGGTGCATAGCGGGTCTGTGTGGTGCTGGGTGCCCTGGCAGCCTGCACTGGATCTAGACAGGGTTGCATTTCTGCTGAAGCAGCTGGAATACAGGATACAAAGTTTTTATTAGCTTTGTGCCCTTTGTAGGATGACAAACACCACCTAATCTGGCGTGAAGTTGAGAGCAGCGCTGGCAAACTGCTCGGTGGCCATGGCTTTCAGTGATTCAAAATTAACTCACTGATGCTTCTCAAAATGAATTCGGTGGTAGAGTGAGTTAGGCTGGACGAGCGCTTCCCATTAAATGGGTGTAAAACTGGTTCTGTATGGAATGCCTCGTAACTCTGCTGTCCACGATCTTGAGCTGTAGGCTGAAAGAATGTCTGTTCACAACCTCAGCAGCACAAAATCACTGGAGGGCTGTTTGATTGGGTAATATATGCTTTAGAAGGAGGTTTAAATTGGTTCTAATTTTCCAGCGCTTTTACTCATTCTTTTCCAGCTGTGGCGGGTCATTCCGGCGTTGTTATGTTCTGGCAGGAATCTCCCCTAGGAATGCTTATCAGATGCATGCAGTGGGTACACAAATGGTGGTGTTTGCAGCAACAGCCAGATTGCACCATAAATGCACTCAGTGCTGGGTCTTTTTTCTTTTTTCTTTTTTTTTTTTTTTTAAAAAGCCACAAAACATGAGGCAGTGTGCAGGGTTTTTAAGGAGTATCTGTTGGTATAGGCCTGACTTGTTCCAAGTCAATCAAGGATAAATGGAAATACGTTCAAGCTAAATAGTAGCTGTGCAACTTCTGTGCTGCTTAAATCGCTCCAAAATTCTCAATGAACTTTAATCTGCAGTAGCTCTTCTTGTAAACAAGCCTTTGGGTCAGGGTACACATTAAGCACCTAGGTAAAATAAGGATTTCTTCCTGTGGAAAAAAGATGAATGCTTTTCCCTGTCTGCGTAGCATGCTGTCATTTTTGAATTATTTTGTTACAGGTGATGTGGTAATGTTGCAGGGAAGGTTTACGTTAAAGTGGTATGTTTAAAGACAAGTGTGTTTTAGTGTGCTGTTATTTCGGCCACATTTCGGTGGTGGTCTTTTATTCCAGCTACTTACACCACACTGTTTTGCTTCAGAATGCTTTAGGGTGTAGCATTTGGGAAATGTACTCAAGTTTGCAGGTGTGGGTTCAGATACAGCTGGTGTCAGCTGTACCTCTGAGCTCGGTGCTGGTCCATAGGCATGTGTGCACGCAGGAGAAAAGCCCAGTGGCACCACGGCTGTAGCTCTAACAGCTGGCTCCTGCTGGGCTCGAGTAGGATGGGCACCCCACTTCTCTGTCTGGCTCATTGGATGCCCTCGTGGTCCTGTGGTGGCTGGAGTTCAGTTCTATTTTCCTTCCTTTCTGAACCAGGCCTGATGTTCGATCCCATCAAAGCGAAGATGTTCCTCTGCTTCCCAAGCCTTTTTCTCTGCCTCTCCTTGCCTGCTTGCTTGCTCCGGCTATGGTGGAATGGGAGAGGTGCATCTTCTGCAGGCTGCTGTGGTACAGGGTGTCACTGCCTGAGGGGATTCAGCTGGGGATGGTGGAAACGAGTTCTTAATCCTGGCTTTGACAGGAGGTCAGCTCTGAGCTGCTCAGTGCACTGCACTGCACTTGGGGCATCTCTGCCTTTAGAGGGGTTGTACTTCTGCGTAAAAGAAAGCAAAACTGAGACATGCATTCCTTTAATAACAAAACACACTCATTGCTGAGTACAGGGATTCTGCTTCCTGAATGGAAGGACTGAGGACTTTCACCCAACAGGCTTCAGATCGGAACTGCAGAATTCATTAGTTGATTACTGCTAGGGTAATTCTGTCAGCAGAGTACAGAGCGTGACATCGTGGCGTTCAGAGATGCCAAAGTGATTCTTTTTTGGAAAAGTAAAGCTTATTTAAAACCGATGAGGAAGGCAGTGCTTTGAAGTATTATTTCCCCCATTACTGCCAATTTCCTTCAGTTCTGTTATTTGAAGCCGAGGACTGATTATATTAAATGAAAGTACAAGCACAAACATTCCCCTTTAATTTTCAGGAGTGAATCTGTCCAGCGTGTGTTTCTATCTAATTGTTTTCTGGGAAGCTTACAGAAGCATCACAGTATTTTGTGCTGAGTCAGAGAAATCCTAGCAGCCGTGAGAATTACTCCTACAACGACTTCCATACTAAATTTTTAATGCCCAGTTTTATCTAGAGCATTTACGTGTTGCATCTGTCTCGGATAATATTTTCAGATTTACTGTTTAGATGTGCAGCTACTGGAGGTTTTCTGTGTGCTGAACCAATCTAGAAGCTTTTAAAGGAAACTCCAGAGGCTGCTGCTGCTGCCTTAGCGCTACTGCAAACGTTGGAGATGATGATCGTGTGCCCAGGGGCTGGGGGCTGTCAGAGCTTGGAGGTGATAATTCTGACAGCAGGAACTAAGAGATGTCAGGCAGGTATGTGTCAAGGTGTGGGGAGGCACATAGCTGGAAATACTCCATTTCTAGATATTCATTTGTGGTCTCGTGTGAATAGTTTGCCAACACGTTGTTTTCTGTAACAAAAATTAGAGCATGGTCATCGTCTTTTCCTAAAAATGTGACTTGACAGGTTTGAGTTTGGCATTTCAGATAGGAAACTAGGGCATTCAGCTTCCCTCACCTCTGCCATTTGCTTATACTTAAGAGACGTACTGAGGTTTTAATATCAGCTAGTTTGAGGTTTGTGTTCATTGCGTTTCTGGGTGTGTCTGGCTGAGGGGAGCAGAAGGAGGTTTAGCTTAGTTTGGTAAGGAAACGAGCCCAGCCAGCTGCTGCTTCTTTTTGCCTCTCTGTAACCATCAGGTCTGTGTTGTAAATTGTAATACTGAAGTATTTTAAAGGTTATTTTTAAACTTCTTGATGTTTACATTTAATTAGTATCTGATTGGGACTAATTGACTAACCTGAACTTCAGCTCTTGTTCAGAGTGCCAAACTGCAGACCGAGTCCTGTGGTGTTAGGTTGCTTCTGGCATCTTTCCTTTCTGGTTTCCTGTAGTACTGGAGTTGTTTCACTCAGATGTATATTTTTTTTCTGAGGTGTTTCATTGAGGGTTATTTCAAACTATTTAACAGAATTCGGAATTTCTATTGCTTCAGTCTTTGCTAAAGATAGGCTAAGACCTGCAAGAAAAATAAACGCATATATTTTTGTTGATTTTCTGTAGGTTGTTTGACGTGCACCTTCTGAAGTTTGTACCTTGGGAAGCATCCCAGCATATCTTCTGTTCAGTGTTTGTGCAGCAAGCAGATTTCCTTCTTTTGGTCCCAGGTCAAGATTTTTCCTTTTCTGCAGGAATAAAACCAGAGGCAGCAGCACTGTGTCCTGTTTGAGGGAGGAAGGATTTTTCACCCCTTGTTCCTTGAAAAACTCTAAGTATGCCTTTTCAGTGGTATAGGATGCTTTGTGTGCCATTGCTTGCAATACACATACAACTAAGGCTTAGAGTGGCTCAGAAGGGGACTTGAGCTGTAATTTAACTGGGTAATTCATTGGCAGCTGCTCACCTTTGCTTTTGTAGCAGTAACTGGAACAGAAGCTTGCTTTCTGTTTAGGATAATATCCCGACTTTGCCAGCTTCCCATGTGGGAGGGACAACACTTGAGACTCTGGTTTCATTCTAGAAGCCTCAATGTTCCTGTGGGTAACCAGGCAGTGCGGAACTATGGCGTGATGCTTGTGTCAGAGCTGTAAGACAAATGTATAACTCCTGGAAGTCCCTCATAATTATGTAACATTTTTAGAAGTAACAGATTAAAATTGTAAGGATGTTTCCAGTGGAGGTGTGAAACACGCTGGTATGGGTGATATGTTTGGAAGTGCCTAGGAATGTTTTATTTCAAAGGCAATAACTAGTCCATGTAATCCTAGTTTAAAAACGATAGAAAAAATATTTTAAAAAGTACCATCTTAAATTTTTTAGTATTAATTTAGAAGAAAATATTTGCTCAGTGTTTTCAACTTGTTAGTTCCAGGTGTAGCTGCTTTCTCTGAAGACCTGTGTTCTTCGTAGGTCTTAGGCTGGACAACATGGGAAACTTGAAAATTACATTTTGATCTTTAATGGTAGTCTTCCCCCAATCCTCCCATTTCCCCTCCTCCCCCTTTTTAAAAAAAAATCCTTTCTCCTGTTGGATTGAAGGCCAGCTAAGAAACTCGGGGTTGTTTTTCTTTCTTTTTGCAGAACGGTTCTGCTTAGTATTGTTTGACTAGCAAAAATGGAACTTAATTGAGCACTTAATGCAGAAAAAATGTAGCGCCCTGTTCAAGATGCAAGATCTTCCTACCATGGTGTGGTAAGAAGATACGGCTTGTCTTTGTCTTGATATAGATGATAAACACATCTAAAGTGTGAAATACCATCGTCGGCACAGCTGACTTAGAGAAGTTGTCTTGCTGTGATGGTGAATTGGGGAAAATGCACTAAAAAGTAGGCAGCTATTACTGAAATGAGACTTTCCAGATAAGACAGTAAATGCAACGTGTGATTCATGTGATTCCTAGAGGTATCTTTGGAAATTCTTTTATTCACCTTGATGAGAGATTTCCATGCTGATATGCACTACAAGAATGGTTACAGCAGGCACTTCCTTCAAATGCACTTCTTAAATTTATAATGGTGTTTTTTGCTTTTCGGGGTATTTGACGTTTCATAAAGTGGTAGGATACTCTCAGCTGGGACCCAGCTCCACACAGGACCACCCAAAAATCAGCCCATGTGTCTGGGAGCATTGCCCAAACACTTGGTGAACTCTGGCAGGCTCAGTGCCATGACGACCTCCCCAGGGAGCCTGTCCCAGTGCCCGGCCACCCTCTGGGTGCAGAACCTTTCCCTAACACCCTGCCTGATCCTCCTCTGTCCCAGCTCCACGCTGTCCCCTCGGGTCCAATGCAGATTGTTTTGCCATACATTCTGGGTCATCTCTAGTGTATTTTGAGAGCTTCTTTCCAAATGCAAAGGATGGAAATGGGGGAATTACAGTTTTTTCCTTACTTGCATCTTAAATCAGAAAGCCAGTTTCAATGTTTCCCAGTAAAGATGCTTCAGTGCCTCAGCTGGTAGCAGTGCCGCTGGGCACACACAGGAATTTTGCTTGGGAGGCTTGTGTTTGTCACACAGAACGTGCCTCTGGCTGTGTAATCAGCATGCTTTTCGACACAAGTTCCAGTGGAGTTGCTAGTTTGCTTTCAGTTTAAAGGGAAGTATCTTCTAGTAGTTGCTGTCTGTATCTCTCTCAGCTGGTCTGTGCCCAGCTTCTGAGATTCCTGCTGGTTTGCATCCTCTCTGAGTGGATCCAAGTTGATCTTCTTTTTTTTGGAAATTTCTTACATTTTACGTTTCTAGTTCTGTTCTTGGCACATTTCTAGCAAAAATAGGTGATTTAAAAGAATAGAGGAGGATTAGTTTGTCGCTTTTCTTTTTTTTTTTTTTTTTTTTTTTGTCCAAAACAAGCTCAAATGTTTTATTTGTGGAACATGGAAGCAGTCAGTGCCTAAGTTAAGGTTTCTTTCGTGAAGTGTCAGAATTCTTTTTTTTTTGGCTTTGGTCTTAGCTGCTGTGTTGTGACTTTTGGTTCATTACACAAAAGTCATGTTTCAACTCCGTAAGTGTATTCCAGTAATTCAGTTTTGCCAAGAAAAGAGCATGGATGCAAGTACTTGTTCATTATCTTTTAAAAAACAAGTATTATTACTAGTGACTTTAGAATGTTACGTGAGAATTAAACTGTTTCTGGAATAGCTGGAAGGATAGGATTAAGAAGCATGGAAACTTTGTAATGACACCTGATTTTAAGGATAAAAGTTGTAAATATTTAAATTTTTCAACTTCAGTATAATTTTGTACTTGGGTATAGTTCTGTTTTGCTGGGAGTCATCCATGCCATAAGAACAATGTGCACGTAGGATCTCCTCCAGGTTTAACTTGCTCATTTCCATTTGATGTTGAAAATGTTGATCCTGAAGGAGAATTGAGTTGGCTTTGGCTTATAGACTTGTGATGATTTTATTAAATTACCAGAACACATGAAGACCTTGGATGCTACAGCTGGAAAACAGGCAATTTAAAACTTTTTTTTCTCTTCTCCTCTAGATTTTCAACTGAATTCTCACCTATCAACACTGGCAAATATTCACAAGATTTACCACACCCTCAATAGGCTGGTAATGACTTGCCATTTTCTCTCAGCTAGGGTTATGGTCTAGAACATTGCTGTGGTTGAAATCATTGCATGGTTACACTTCCTAAAACTATGACTGCCTTTCTGTCTGAGAGGCTGTGGGTTTCAAATAGAAGAATTAGGAGATGACCAGTATGTTGAAAGATTATTCACCAGGGGTCAGAATGGAGTTTGAGGAGTGTTCTCTGCAACGTTGGATTCAGAAGTTTTTTTTCAATCTGAGTTTTCCTAGATCTGTCAGATACTGATGAAAATAATCCTCATTATTCAGTTTCTTACAGTTCTTGTGGAAAATACTGAATGAGTGAGCTGTCCTCTTGCAACCATGCAAAGAGTGAAACACGATTTTTGAAGAGTGTCCCTGCTGCTTTTACACTGGTTTTACTGCAACCATATCTGGAAGTGCCTATAAAGCTTTTGTTCGTACATTGCAAATTTGGTGGAAAAGACACTGCCTAGAAAGGGGGTGATTTGTTTCCAAGATTGCAGTTGTTTGTAACCAGTATTCTTAGGAACAGGTAGGGGTGTTTATCCTTAAGCAAAGCCGCTTCTATGGTAAATGCTAAATTGGATTTAAATGGGATTGTTTAGAACAGCACTGTGAAGTTCCCCATTCAGTGGATAGTTATATTCACTCTTCAAGCATGGTTTGTTTTAAAAAATATTTCAAAATATTTTTCAAATGATGTACAGATTATTATTGGATTTCTTAGATAAATTTGCAGGGGTAATTTGTTTAGATAAATGCAAATCCAGAACAAAGTCTCTGCAGTTTTAGCTAGATGCTCCTTAAATAATGAAGTTGAATATCAAATTGAAGTAAAGGTTAAAAGCATTACTGATCGAAGAAGGTCGCTATCTTGTTTAACTGTATCACTCCTCTTCTCTTGCAGAATCTGACAGAGGACGTTGGTCAAGACGATCACCAGACAGGTATTTAATAGGGATGTAGTAGAAATAGACCAGAATAATGTAATCGTGCTTTGTGAAATAAGTCTCTTTAACATTGAAACTGAAATTTTAGGCAGCTAAGGGAGTTCTAGAAAGCAACTGCCAGTTTTTTTCTAATGTTTCTTCAAAATAACTGTACATGCTTTCAATTTCTCCACTTGTGAAGAGCTCACGTAGGTTTCAGCTGTGTGACATTTTTACTATTTCTGTGCAAGTTCTTTAGAAGACTTTATGAAAAATTTCTCTCACTCCTTGGACTCAACCCATTAGACTAGCAGAATATCCATGTTCTTACAGTGTTTTGACTCTTGAAAGAGCATCAGTGAGAACAGAGCAGAAGCAAGACCTCTTGGGGTTATTGTGTTGCCTGTGACCGAGTTTAAATGCTGTATTCCAAACAGCCCAACCTCCCAACCTTTTTTTCAAGTGATTTTGTTGGAGAGAATGTTTTCCTGGTTCTTGTGCAGATTTTTCAATAGATGTCTGAGGGCTATTTCTTAGTTCCAAATTTGTTTTCTGTTCTATAAAATGTCATCATTTTTTAGGCCTTCATTCCAGGTGCCTGGTACCAGCTTGCTGCCAATTCTTCTTCACCAGCATTTGAGCTTTGCGGCTTGATAACTTGCAGCATTTGTTGCCTTCTTTTGTACTTGTTCCTTATGAGCTGGCATCTGCCTTTATTTCTTTTTCTTCATTCCTTTCTGTGTTTCAGGCATGATACCTAAAGAGGAAGGAAAATAACTTGTTGGCTTCAAGCCCCGATCATTCAGCAGAACAGTTCTTTAAAAGTGGCCATATCTGTCCTACCATCTGTCTCGAAGTTGTTCTCTATCCTGAGGTGCTGGCTATGCGTGCTGATGTTACCCTGAGCACTTAGGAGAGTGGAGAGAGCTGTCAGCTCCTCCTGGAGATTTCTGGGACAACCTTGTAAATTTAGCACACTCTTAGCCTAGAGCAGTAAGAGATATGTAGGACTGAGTTGTTTGGGATCTTACTGAGCTCACTTGGGGCTTGTATGCCCTCCTCCATACTGCAACAGGTGACTTTATTTCATAGTTGCACTGTCTTACCCTGCCCATAAAAGGCTTCTATCAAATATTTTCTGTCAGTGTCCTCAGTGGTTTTATATTTGAAATGAGTTCATCACATTAAACTTCATCAGAAGAGGCTGAGGCAGCTAGTTCCAGACAGCCCTTCTACTGTCCGTTTGTTAGGACCAATCCCCATGGTGATCTAGGTGCTTGAACTAAACACAGATACATCCTGATTTTGTGTACAGAAATACATTCTGTAATCTTTGTTTACCTTTGATCACAAAAAGCTGTTGTGAGGCGTGAGGTATTGGTCTCGAGGCAGTCACCTTCCATCACTAATCGATAAGAGTAGGTGTGCTTAATGTATTTGCAATTTGTCCTATCTCTTGCTTGGCACTTCTACTGCGAAAGGTTAATGTAAGAAATCAGCCTCAGAGCTCTCATCATCTTTCTTGGAAGGTGTTTGAGCATGTTTTTGATTTTAATGAAATGCTTTATTCTGACATTTGTGGTTATCTCATTACCTGCATTGTATTTGTTTTAATTAAGCTTGAGCATGTTCATTGAATGAGTTTGGGCAAAAATCCTAGAAAAGAATGTAATTTTTTTACAGTAGCTATGAAAGAACCTTTAAAACCAGGAAGGAAGTATGAAATCAGAGTTGAAAATAGAGGTTGCTCTACAGATTAGAATATATTTAGATTTCATTCCAATGTTTTTTATGCTTCTGCCCTGTTTTATATCTCCTTTTAGAAAACGATGAAGCCCCAGCATATGCATAAGTTCTAGCCTTCAGTTCAGTTGAAATCTGCATTTGGTTTCCCTCGTATGAGCACAGATAGACATGCAGGGGGATGTTATGGCCTTTGTGAGTATAGTGCAGTGACATCTCGTGTCCATTTCATATGGGACTTGACAATTCTGAAACATCTTACACAAGAGTCTTATGTAAATCTTAAAAAAAAAAAAAAAAGTTACCTTCACAAATTGTTTGATGTATTTAAATGTTAATAATTTCTGTTCTCCAATAAGAACTGTCAAGACCTATTCATTTTGTTACAGACTTCACAGTAGTGAATAGATGCTGTGTATTTATTTGAGGTTTTCCATCCAGAACTCATTTGGCAGTAATGTTAGGTCTACAAAACATTCCTTGGGTGTTACCGAACCAATCTAGAGGTGATTTTTGTTTTTTGAGATTTTTTTTTTTCACGCTCTGAGTCTTTTGGAGCAAGCCTTGTCCTTAGAGATTCCTATGCTTTTTCTGATGTATATCATGGTTAATATTATTACAGTGGGGGCCCTGTTTTGGGAGTGACTTAATACACATCTAAATTGTGTTCAGGCTTCTAAAAGCTATTTAGAAAAATGGAGTATTTCAATTTTAGGTTAACATTTGTAATGAACTTTAAATGCTTATTACATTTATTTTAAAGCAGTTGTTTCTGATCTAACAATAACTGTACCGGACATGTAAATTATTTTGGACAATAATCTCTCTTCTAAGTATTAGTATTTCTTTTCCTGGAACCAGAACATTGGTATCTAACAGTTAGAAGATGGAATTTTCAAAATTCCTTCAGTGATTCGGGAACTAACATAGACCTCACTTCAAAATACGTGTCACCTGCTGTAATTACACTCACATAACATGTGTACATGTGTTAGCATTCAGTGTGTTTTATAAATCTGAAAAATAAGACTGTAAATGTGTTGTGGGGCTTTATCAGCTGTTGGTAAGGATCACGGGCGTTCATTAAGTATTTTTTTTCCTTTTTTATTATTATACATATTGAATTGGGAAACTGGCTCTTGGTTTTGAAATGGTAGTCATTTATGTCATGACTACGAAATTAGCAGCTTGTCAATAGCATACATTAAAGTAATGATTTGATTATTAAATTGTAACTTGCTTACCTATCCAGACTAAAATGTCTTGAAAAGTAAAAGTGCATAAGTACATATCCTGTTGTCACCTGGCTGGTTTAACATAAGGAGGTAATGCCTTCAACAAAAACAAGGCTTCAGTGGTTTTATTGAAGCTTGGGGCAGAGTGGTGGGGAGATTATTTTGCCAGTACTTTTTTTTTTTTTTTAATTGTTTTAAAGAAGAAAATTTTCTTGAGTCCAAAGCAATTCTGTAGTCTGGAATTCAAGATAGAGAGGAACTTTTTTCCTGTATACCTGCTTTTATGAGAAGACTGCAAATTTTTTGATGCTTTGATGAGTATCTTGTTTTTTTCTCATCTCGTATCTGAAAAACAATGACTGTTAACTGTGTTTATGGTGGTCTTCTTGCATCATTAAGTGAGCAGCTGTATCTTTCCAGCTGCTTCAGCATTCACAGTTTGTAATTATTTTTCTTTTGAAACATCCATCTACTTAAACATCAGAAGAACAGGAATGTTTACAGGCATTATTTAGAAAGAAGGTGAAAATTATGTCAGTAAATCACTTCTATAGGGACACAGCTTGTAGAATTCGTTTTTATTGACCACTGTTTTTTCTTTTTTGCTTATTTTGGTTTTGTTGCTGTTCTAAGAGTGTTCCTCTCTGTGGTGCTTATCTTGGGCATTGTTTTAAATTTCTTGGGGTGGATTTTAGCTCTTGAGTTGATATTTCCCTTTGTCTCCTGCAAATCGTCTCCTGCAAATTTGGAAGTACTGAATAGAACGTTTGGCAAACAACATTTATACTCGGCAGGCTTTTGGCTGATGGTGACTTATTCAGCAGCCATTTGGAGGCTCTACCTTGCAAATGCTAGCTTCAAGTGTCAAAAAAACAGTGAGAACTAGGAGGGTTCTGCCAATCTTGAGTTGAGACCCAGGAGTAAGAAACTTTGAAGATAATCACATCAGAGAAGCTGCGCTTGGTAAGTAAAGTTCCTGTCAAACTTTGCATGAAGTCAGAGGGAGCTGCATGTGCATTTGCAGATGATCAGGCCTGTGAGAAGTGAAATAAGTTGTGAATAGCTAGACCTAGAGTTTACATGTAGGATTAGACAGGTCTGTTTGGAAAAGGTTATTAAGTTATTCTGTAAAATCAGAAATTGCAGGAATTGAAACAAACCCAAACTCAGATAGTTGTTAGCATTAGATGGGGGTAACAGAAATATCCTGCTTTGTTCACCTTCCAGAAATTATTACAAGGAAATTATAACTACACTTCAAATTCAGTATACTGACTCTGGTAACAAAAATATATATTGCTCAAGTAATGTTCTTATAGTCATGCTCTTAGTAGTTAATAGATCATTCAACAGCTAAAACATTGTGAAGATTTGGTCCAAAACTTAGTTAATAAGTTGTTAAATCTCTGAAAGCAAGTGCAGTCAGTATGTTTGTCCACCTGGTGTCTGTGTGTGTGTACATACGTATTTAATAGCCGCTTACCAATTTCTGAGCCCTCTCTTTTCTTCCCTTTTCTGTCAGTTTGAGAACTGCAACTAGATACATTCAAACCAAGAAAGGCTCTAAGTTTTTTGTATGAGTTATTGGAGAAATTGGGGTATGATGAAATCTATTATCACTTTAAGCCTTTTTATCAAGTTTGGCAATCTTCCTAAAACTGTCCTATTATTTAATGAGAAAAGGACTTCAAACAGGAATTCTTGGATTATTTTTTTTGGTTTGTTTGGGGTTGCAGAGCTGACAAAATGATTGTCCCATTCTGTAACATTCATTTATTTATTTTCATCTTTTGCTGTGCATCTCTTTTTCACAGAAGCCTTGCATATTTCTTTTCCCAATCAAATAACAAGCATTAGTGGAAGTAAATGGGAAAAACCTAGAGGGTTTGGTTTGGTGTTTTTTGTTACGTTTTACCAGCATCCAATGCCTGTGGCCATCATAATAGTTTTTTTAAATAGAAAGGTATTTAAAAAATCAAATTGTTGTCAAAGGAGTGAGGTGGTTGCAGGTTGTTTTCCAAGTACTCAAGTACATACATATTTTTCAAAATAATGTGTTCATTAGCACATATTTTTGTTTATTAAGTTTAGTTTGTGTCTGGGTTTTGTTCATAGATCTGAATCTGTTGGCTGTCTTTAGCCATCTGTTAAGTTCTGTTGTTGTCTTAAGTGTTTTTAGTTTGTGTAGGCTTTCAAATAAATACTTACTGCAAGATGTAAAATGTGATTTAAGAAGCCATAAAGCATCATACTTAGAGTAACTCATGGGAATACAGTTTTGTGGTATCATTAATTTGCAGGCATAATGAGGTGGAACAGGTAACATTCAGCAGATTAGGTCCCTTAGTTTCTTTAATCTGGGTAGCCAAATGTTTGGGGCGTCCTGTGAATATTTGATAATCTCTGGCTTACCCATTTCAACTATCCCTGATATTTTTGAGAAGATGAATATTACTATTGTTAATATCCAGCCATTATTATGTTTTCATATGGTAGGAATTTATGGGTATAATGCTGGGAAGTTTTTTTATAACTAGTTAAATGATATTATCAATGCATAGTACTCTTAAAGCTTTCTTTTGAAAAGGTAGTGTCATTATGGACATACTTTCCTGGGAGGATGCAATTATGGGGGAAGCATTAGTAAAAAAAGAGGGGAAGAAAATAATAGTAAAAATAATAATAAAGAAGTATAGGAAGAATTTTTGAACTGGAAAGGGTGGAAAGAGTATTTTTTGAACTGGAGAGATTAACTGTTCTTAATAAAAGTGATTGTAAAGGTAAGATCATAGAAGGCATAGTAAGTGCAAAACCTTTATTAGTTGAAACCAAGTTAGTTAATGTTAATAATTGGTTTGAGCATCTTGCCTAACACTAGAAAAATCCTTACTTTCATATACATCATAGTTTCAGTGCATGTTTAAAGTAAAGTACATGTAGAGTACTTTAAGGCCTGTGAGGCTGTAAGGTTCCTTACATGTGTTTCTCCTATAACAGGAGAGAGACTTTCAAAGATACGAAGAATAGGTAAGCATAAGATTGCTGTTAGTATTTGTTGGGAATTGGGCCTCTGGTTTCAGTCTGTTCCCTTGGTGTCAAAAAGCAGTAAAAGTGTTTTTGCTTGCTTCTGTGCTGTGTTTTAAAATAAAAGATTTTGTGGACATCTTAATAAAGCATAGTTAAACTTTGGATGCTGTTGAAGCTAAGAGAAGGTAGCCTAGGCATGCTGTATTTCTTCATGTTTCCTTGCAAGTTTCTTTGGCATTGCTTTGTGTCTGGATTTTTATACCTCACCTCTCCCTTCTTTTCCTTTTAAAATTCTCTGCATAACACTTAGAGCTTTGATAGCTCGTTTCTTGGGTGTCCCATATGGTCTTCAGTATATGAAAGTAGGACAAAATTCTGCCTGGAGTGTTAGCCTGTTGCTTTCATGAGGCCGCAGAGACAAACAACTTGCTGTGGTCAAAAGGGCTGATCCTGTGCTCTTCATTGTGCTAATGCACAGACAGGATTGTGTTATTTATTCATTTATTTATTGGTTTTGCTTGGGTTAATTATTTACAGGTTTGGTGAGCTGGATTAACACGCTGAAGCTGACAAAAGGAAGGAATAGGAATATGCAGCTGAGAAAAGGGGAATGGAGGACTGCCACTTGACCTGACCATCATGTGTTTTAAAGTGGCAGTTTCCTACTTTTGAACTCCTCACTGTTTGAGAACTATCCAGTCCAATCAAATCCAAATGATACAGCTACTTTTTTTTTTTACTTGTTGTTGTAGCTCTTCAAAACTAACAAAAAAACAACAACAAAACAAATCACCCAACAAAACCAATCCCCCTCACCAAAAGCAAATCTATCAAACAAAACCAAGAAATGAACAGAACCTTCTTTTCCCCTTGCTCTCTGTATAACAAAGAAAACTAGGGGCTTAAAAGTGAAAAGGTTATGTTTTCTAGAGGTATGCTGCTCTAGTATTTGGGTCATGTCTGTATTTAAGAAAAAAACAACTCTTAGAAGTTGTGATTTGAATTAATTACAGAAAATTTGGACTGAAAACTAAAATACATCTTCAGGATAGTTCTTGCCTTTTGTTAGACTGAAGTAGCATTAGCAAAAATGTATATTTTGGCATAGTTTTGGCATAGCACTGACTTCAACTGAAATCTGATCATAGAACACCATGTAAAACAGATTTTGCTCTGGAAAGGGGACCGTTTATTTTGTATTTTAAATCCACTAATGTCCTCCCTTCCCTTTCCTTTGTAATATTATGCCTATTAGTGGATGCAGTTTATCTGGTCTGCAGCAGTTTCATTTCTATGTACTGGTGTTTTTAATTCCCTCTGTAGGAAGTCTCCGGTCTTGCAGTTCATCAGACTGCTTTAGTAAAGTGATGCCTCCAAGGAAAAAGAGGAGACCTGCAGCAGGAGATGATTTATCTGCTAAGAAAAGTAGACATGATGGGTATGTCATCTTACCATGGGCTAAGACTGGTGGAATATCTAAAGATGAACAGCTGATATGATCATGTTTTCAAATACTAATGGGAATGGTATTCAAATTTGGTTTCTTGATGTGGAACCACGGCCTGTGATTAAACTATGGGATATTAATAAGTTCAGTTTGCTCCTTACCTTTTTCTAGTCATACAAAAAGCTTGCAGGGAACTTGTGATCTTGTTTGCCAGCTGTCAAAAGAGATGTACTTGCTTGTTCAAAGACTTCTGAGGGATACAGTAATGTCTTCCTCTATATGTGCATAAGATCTAGATTGGGCATTCTCAATCTATAGCCTGTCAGAAAAGTGAATGTAACTGTAGCCCCTCTGCAGCCACAGTTCTAACCTGAAGTTCTGCTAGTCTGTCCCTCTCACGTTGGTTTTGTGCTGAAGATTGCCAGGCAAGGTGATAGCTGATGGCCGGGTGGTGACTGAGGTGGTGCTGCTCAGCTTCCCTCTGAGTGGGTTCTAACTGTGTGCACGATCAGTGTGCTCTTTGGCGTAGGTGCTGCACTTCTGGAGATGGTGTATTTTCTGTGTATGCTCAGTCAGCCTCCTTTGCATCACGCAGCAGCCATTGAGCGTGCTCCTTGTCTGCAAGATGCAGCCGTTACTTAGTGCACTGAACTCAGAACTTGTGGGAGTACAGGGCAGTGCACTCCTTCATGACAGCTGCCATCACACCTCGGCGGCAGGCCTCTAGTATATACGAGTGTCCTGATGTAGAAAAGGGATGCATGCAACCAGAAAGTTTGGTTGCCACTGCATAAGCCAGTGAGCAATGAGCTCTGTTACACTCGGTATTGCAGGTGCCTCAGAAAACACAAGCTTCCATAACAAGTAGATAGGCAGAAAGATGCATTTCTCTTCCATCAGCCAGAAATGAGGCTGTGTACTTTCCTTTTCTTTCACTAGCATGAGTAATCATAATGCTGGTAGCCAAATTAAGCCTCTGGTTATGCCTCTATAACCCCATTGTGTGTAATAGGGTTGCACAACTATAGCTGCACTGGTATTTATTAAGTGATCTGTTGGAGCAGAAGGAAGTTTTTAACTTTCCCTTTCGTCGCTTTGCATATGTGAAACTAGCAAGAGCAAAAAAGCAGTGCATGTTCTAAATATTTACTCTGCTTTTGGAAAAGTTAAAAGTGAAAATACAGTTATGTTTCTAGAATCTATGTAGAGAGGTTTACAGAAATTAATATACGTCCTTTTGCTAAGACCCTGATAATAAGACAAGCCAAAGCCCCTAGAAGGTAAGGTTGTCTGTAGTAAGAGATACTGATCTGTAAGAAAACAATGAGAAGCTGATTTTGTACTCTGTTAGTACTACATATAATCATTAAGAGCTTTTTGAAAACATAATTGGAAGTATTTTTTTGTAACTAATGTATCTGGTCTTCATTCTACTGCAATCTGAAGTTTTCTTAAAGCAGATTGAGGTTTCCCCCTTTAGAAGTGGAGGTGAAACCAGATTTAACAACCATGGGCCACAGGGGAACATCCTTCTGATGTGGTTCCAATTTCTGTATTCCTTAACTTCTAAGGTTTTGGGGCTATCTCAGCTTCCCTCTGTTTAAGCTTCCTTTCGTTTTGGTCTCCAAGAAAGTAGTTTGAATTTCATCATGACTGGTGACATGAATTCATTTCCTGCATATTCAGCTTAGTCTTAGAACCGTATTTTCTTTCAAGGAAAGATTTCTTCAAAGTTGGCTAATGTCCCTGTAGCCTGTGAACAGGTTAGACAACAAGCAAGCCATCTCTTACTTCCATGCCTTTTAGATGGAGCTCATGCCTGTTCTGTTCGATCTTTCAAGGTTGGACATCTCAATGTGTTAAGCAGGAATCTATTGGAAATCAGGAACCTGTACAGCAGTATGCTCTTGTAGACCTGTTTGCAAAACTCTTTCCTTTGACATTATGTACAAAGAATGCTGTACATAATAAAACCAGTATGGGGTAGTGCAATGCCAGTATATGAAATAAAAGGTTTCTGGGCTCATTTCTGTGCCATTGCTGCCATTTTAGAGGCAGACTTCCTAGAAGCTGCATGCAGGTAACTCACGTCTCTCTTCAAGGGACATTAGCCTATGTAGAATGTGTAGCAAAATGTGAAGCAAAAAAGCTAGTCAGAGTCTGTTCTTGAATGTCTGCTTTCAATGAAAAACAAAAAGTGTGCTCTTAAGGACAGACAACACTCCTGAACAGAGGGGTGATTTCAGATCTTTGTGGAATGATCCATATTTTGTATGTTTCTGAGTTGTAGCAGCCAGCTCACAGGGGGAATGTTAACAAATAAATGCAGTAAGTGTTCATCAATTTGCTTTCAGTGTGGAAATGTTGGGTAGTACTCTGCAGGTTATCAAAGGAGTGTCATTATTAAGGGTGTCATCACAGCAGAGACCGAATGTTGATGATTTCTCCTGGTTTGTCTGCACAAAAAAAAATTATATTTTAATCCTTTCATGGATAGTTTTGTTGGATGATACTTTCAGTTTTCGCTGTTTGTGTTCCTAAAATCACTTCAATTATGGAATACTGACAGTAATGTTTTTGAGATATTTATTCTTTCCAGAAAGCTTAGTTCAGCAGAGATCTGTTCTGAAAGAAAGAGATTTCTAAAGGCTCTTTAAACTTACAGACCCTAAATACATATGGTAACGAAAAGCTTGTAATAGCCTTCACTTTCAATTCCAGGCTGTTACAGCCTCATCTTGAAATGATTAGTGGAATAACGATGCTGGCTATTGAGGAAAGTATTTATAGGAACAAATCTAAATGTTAGTGAAGTTATTTGGGAGTGCTGTTCTCATGCATAGACTACCTATGAAAAAATAAAGATCCTGTTGTTCTTTAGCATCCTACCTGTGCACAATAGGAGCTTGGATTCTATTAATATTTTCACCTTGAACCATGCATGTAGTATTTGAGTGGGAGGGATTTTCTTTTTTGCCAGATGATAAGCAGTGAAAATAACTGTGTTCATCTCTGGATAGCAATAAAATTCATCTTGTCTTAGAGAATGGCATTTTAAGTAGACAGTTTAGTGCACACACCAGAAAATAATGACTTGAAGACTTGGTTTGTATTTCCCTCTTGGTTTGACAGTCTTGACCTTATTGTTCTTACAACTCTCACAGTCTGGCATATTCTCAAATTGGACTTGCAAATCTGTATTCTGTATGTTACTCTTCCATCATTGTGTTAAAGGGCATAGAAAAGGAAAAAACAAGCTTCATCTGAAGATAGTTGCTAGGTAAGAGTATATTTCTATGTATCTGTTATGCCAAAGATTGGATTTTGAGAAAAATGAGCCTTGTAACATAATGTCTTCTTTCCAATAGTCTCATCTGAAAAGAAAATAATTCTAGTCATTGCTCCAGAGTTGTGCTGAGGGGAAAAATCTTACAGTTATAGATATTTGGACTGTAGAGTGATGAAAACCAGGGAAGTATATCTGCTTCCTTGAAAGCTGTGTTTTCAAGCAATTAGATCCACAGGTCTAACACATCCTGGATGTGTGTGTGGATCACGTAAAGACATAGTAATATGAAAAACAAATTTGTGTTATCAGCCCCGTACTGTATAGTGAAAAACTGAAGTTTTGGAAACACAATTAACACAATATTATTAATATGGGAAACTAAAATAGGAGCATAACTAACCTTGGAAGTTTTCAAAACCTTTAGTATTCAGAGGCTTCTTCATTCCTCTGCCATTTATCAGCTGGCTTGCCATGCAGGCAGCCTGTGTTACGTACTGTCATGGATGTCTAGACCGTATTCCTTGGAAGCAGATGTTTTCAAGTAGGCACAGATGTAAATGCCTTTTTCTATACCTTTTCAGTGACTTAATAGTTATAAAGAAACTTAACTGGAAGTTTGTCAGTATGTATGCTGTTATACTGTTTTTTAAGTGAGCCTTGTTAAATTCAGAACATCGGTTAAAATGTTTAGGGATGATTGTGAGCCTTTACATAGGGAGGGATAAGACACCAATGTATACAATTTACCAGTCAAGTGAATTTGTCCTGCAAGTTGCTTTAGACGGTCTTTGTCATACCTTACAAAAAAATCTTTTTACTTGATTCTACCATCGTATTTATGAAACTATTGCTAAAACTGTTGTTGTGAATAAATTAAGCTTAACAAAAAAATCCTTTCATTTTGTTGCACGGATGAAAACTCTCAACTAAAGCTTTAAAATAGTTTAATTGCAATTAATGAAAGTAGTAGGGGCATCTTCTTCAATCAAAAGTTTACAACGTTCAAAAAATAAATAATCTGAAAGCAACTAGTTAGGCAGTGCAAAGCTTAAAAGGAGGTGAAGTTTTGGTTGCGTAGAAACAAAGCAGTCCAGCAAAGCTGCAGTTGGTAAACTTGTTAGTATTTTCATTCAGGAAACTGGACATCTGAAATGAGCAGGGTGTAAGTCTTCAGGAGGGGGTTACCTTTATTTATTTTTCCTTTTTTTTGAAATAAGCTAATGACCAGATTCTGCAATCAAGAGAATGTTTTGTATGACCTAAGCTTTGTACTTTCACTGACCTCATTTTGAATATTTCAGAGCCGTGCAGCCCAGAATTTGCTGTGGTAGGTGGAGCTTAACAAATTCCAGTACAGCTGAAGCTTGCTCAGAGCATGAGTGGATTCAACTGTAATAAATTGAAGAGAATTACCACTTGTTCTTTTGCTGGAAGTATCCACGTTCTCTTAAGATGGGGTCTTAGTCACCCCATAATACCTAGGTGGAATCTTCATGCTTTTACTTTCCCACCAAATCAGGTACATAAAGAGGATGTGAAAGGCTTAGATACTCAGGTTTTGTATTATTTTGTTTCAGTCTAAACATGGCCTTTTGAGTGATAAACTGAATGCTTCATCTTTATTGCAGGGATATTTCCATTTCATAGCTAACAAGAGTAATGCAAAAATAAGAAATGAATGTGAGGAGTCAGCTGTGAGGTTGGTGTCTGATTTTAAAAAGTTGGGATTCCTTGCCCGCTGTGCAGTAAGCCAATCTGCATGCTATGTTAAGATACTGTTTATATCAGATTTGCACAAGTCTAGGTACCAGGTGGTTTACTGCAAAGCTGGCAACACTAAGAACTGTCTGTGCCACTATTTATACCGTCCCTTATCACTCCATTTACATGTTTGTACAATCCCCTAGCCTCCAATGACTACAAATTACCTGACATAACAGAGTCATTCTGCCTATCCTCAGAGACGAAGGGTCCCTTGTTGGTCCAGGGTCTCCCATCCCGGGGGTGTGATTTTTACTATTATAATGAGGATACTTCACATTAGAATTCTTCTAATCTTTGTTTTTCAGCCATCTGCTCAGGTTAGGTTGATTGGTGACATGTTAAGTCGGGATGTTTCCCTCAAAAATGTAAATGTAATGGTCTTCCTGATGAGCAGTTCCTCAGTTAATCATCCTTTAGATGTCTCCAAGTCCTGGGTCATCTTCACACTTTCTCAAAGTACATATTTTCTCTCTTTCACACAAAACAAAGTGTACACTGATATCAGTGTATACTTGAGCAGTTCGTTCACTTCTGGTTTGTGACTGAAATTCTACAGGTTTCTATTTTATGGACCATCAGCGCATAAACAAGTTACCAAACTGTAGTGTCGTCAGTGTAATTGTCATGCTTCTCTTTGAAGGTACTGGTGCTTGGCATCTTGAGACAGCTGTGAGCCACTGACAACTTGCTGTTTAAACCCTCAGATCTGTTCAGTAGATGCTGGGGGTTAACAAAGTATTCAGACATCTACCCTGTGCGCTCTGGCAGTTTGTATTCATCTGTGAGATGAATAAGAGACGCTGTCCTTAGCATGAAGACAAGGCACATCATCTTACAGTACGTACGGAGACATTCCAAAGACAGGAGAAATATTCTAAGGTACAACATGCATGCCAGACTTCTCTGTCAGTTTGTGGTTTTCACCTCTGCACATTCGTTTCTTGAGACAATCAGATCTGGACTGATGGTAGTTCAGAGGGCACAGTCTTTGGAACCACGTTTACCCAGGGCTGCCAGGTTGGGCTGGCTGTGACAGCTGAACTGGGCTTCCTTCGGCTATGATCTCAGATGCTTGTCTAGTTACTTGTCTGTATCTCCCTCTCATCTCACTTCCCGAAGCAATTCAGGGCTTAGGAGTCTCTTGCTAGTAAAAATAGCTGGTTTGTCTAGACTGGGAGGGGAAACTCATTTGGTATTTAGAGTAAGCAGGGAGTTAATGGACTTCATCTATACATGAGAGCTAACTAATACCAGGTTTGCTTTGGTGTTACCTGCTTCTGTCATTTTCCTTTTCAAGTGATCCTCGTCTCACAGAATACGTGCTCTGCTGATAGTTCCTTTAGGTGGATAGAACAACATCTGTGAATCATCCAACTGTTCTTGTTGCTTTGTTGCGTAGTATTGTAGCCTGTTTTCATTATACCGATAAGGTGTCACATCCACTTGTAATTGATGTGTAGTAATTAGCTTGTAGCAGAGGTTAGGATGGCCCAAGATGATATCCTTTCTGTTTTCTGAGTTTTGTGAAGTAGTTTCTTACCATCATAGCTTGGAAGATCTGTAATCAATTCTTGTTTCTGAGAAACAAGATTCCAGCTGCCTGATACTAAGTTTCTTGAACGTTAAGTTAGAGGAAAGAGCATTTTGCATTGAGTTACTTGGCTGTGTGTTGGGCACACATGGACTTACATGTACTCATGAATATTGTTGTTTCTTCCAGTTCCTAACTGTCTTTAGCCTTTAGTACAGCAAATGAGCTGCAATTGCTTATCAGTCCTGTGAAAACTTGTCATGCTTAGACTCAATGAAAGTATAAAAATGGGTGCTTTTTTGTTCTAATTTTCCATTCCTCTTACACATACAGTTTCTCTTACACCAACTGTTATTGTTGGTGTCTTGGTTCAGGCGTACAGTATTAACTCTGCCACTTGAAGATGCAGGAATCCTTTTTCTGAAATACTTGGATGATCCAGAGCTCTGTCAATAAATGGTTCTCGAGGGTTCCTTTCCAGACCTGCTGTTCACCTACTGACAGCTAGTGTGTTGGTGAGTTAAGTGAACAAGCAGGTGAAGCACTTTCTTATCAACCCTTCATAAGAAAAATACATTTATTCTTGTGGTGAAAATCTGTCTTAGGGAACCACACTAACTTTCCATGCTCCAGGCCCTTAGACTAGGTACTTAGACTCCTTGAATAAAAATGTTGAACAGCTCCTGCTACAGTCAGTTTTCAAGTTTGTATTAAAGTTGGTGTTATGAGTCTTGGGTATATAAATATTTGTTCCTGAAATGTGGATGGATGGCATTTGACTGCAAGGTTTCAGTTTGTTGCAAGGTCAGCATGTTTCAGTACGGTGGTAATTTTCCTTTCAGTCTTGAAATTTCTTCAAATTTTCATTGGTATTTGTCTTCCAATTAGCAGTTTCATTTTGCTCTGACCAGTATTACTTTTCTAATAGTTAATTGCTTTTGAAGAACTATGACAATACACATGAAGTAGTTTGTGTGCTCCTGTCAGCGTGATGTGTGCCATTGACTAGAGAGGGTTCCTTGTAGCTGATAGCAACAGGCATCAAGGTAGAAGATGCTGGGATCAGTGTACCAAGCTCATAAGTACAGACGTCTTTTACATGCCTTTCAAGAAGGACAAAGTAGTGATGAAATCAACTCCAAATTACTTTTATCAAGTTATTTCAGATTGGCTAATTGGTTCAAGGAGCACTTAGTTGTCCTCCCCCAGCAGGGTTTGACACTGTAAGAGGAAGGGGCAGCATGCTTGGAACATTTACAGAGCTGTTCCTGGCTACCTGCTCTAGTCCAAGCCATTTGTTACTTGGCTCTATTCAGCTTCTGAGCCTGAGCTACTGCAGAGTGATGGAAATGGTTCAGAGAGTGTATATGCAGCAGTGAGCAATTACTTGGACTGCTGAGTCTCTTCCCTTTAGCAGGCTGGCACAAGTGGTATTGTCTCTGTTTCAGAACTGAAAGTCTAAACAGGATGGAGAAACTCATCGACTTCTATTGCACATTCTGTGTTTGAGGTGTTTCAGATACTAAATTCAGGAGACTGGTACTTCAGTGGCATTTCTTGAATGCAGGCAAAATTCCTTAAGCTTTTCATCTGAGGAGAGCATTACCCCAGTAGTCATCTCTGCGGGGAAGGCAGTGCTGCTGATTTAGCTTTTCACTTAATTGTTTACCCCATGATGAAGTTACTGTCAGTGGGGACCTGTAACCTGGGGGTTGTTTTTTGTTGTTAGTTTTCTTTTTTTCTTGTGTTACCAACTTACTGGCCTTTTAATAATGTTAGTGTGTGGGTCGTGTCTATTTCAGTCCTTATGCTTCTTAGGGAATTTTTGAGGAGGCAAAAAGAGTATGTGAAGTTCTCCTCATTAACTAAATAATCAAAAATACTTGAAGTCTGTGTGGGACCTGTATTGACTGTGACGTGAAATCACTGTGGGTTTAGACCCACAGCCAAGATGCAGCCCATCAGTTGATTATGGTGATTGCTAGTATGCACAAGTCTTACTTGCACAAAGTGCTTTGGGGTTGAATTTGAACCAAACTCTGTTAGGAAAGTTCATTTACATGAATAGCTTATGGACCAGTTGAATTGTGACAGACTGAGCAAATACACAAGGTTCAATAATTCTTATTCTGCTAAGCAGTTCCCAGAATGACTGATTATGAGGTCAGAATGTTGAGTAAACTAGTTAATGAAAGAAAATGTGTTGCTGCTTATAGTGGCTGTTGACTAAAAGGTTGCTTTAAAAAAACTGATAAATTCTTTTTTTTTTTTTAAAGTATGTATAGAAAATATGATTCGACTAGAATAAAAGCAGAAGAAGAAGTCTTTTCAAGTAAGAGATGCTTAGAATGGTTCTATGAATATGCAGGTAAGGGTGAAATGCAAATTTCTTCCTGATAACAATTTAATCTACATTGGAATATGAAAATTGCATTAACTGATCTTTTCCAAGACTAAATACGGAGACTTTTTTTGTAACAGATTTAAAGAAGCTTTTCTTATGTTTTGCATAGCATGAAGTTGTTGAAGAGTTCAAGGGGTAATTTTGTCTTTGTCTCGATTCTATAAAAAGAATGGAGGAGGTGTGTATCTTGAAATATTTTAGAACATGAATACTTTACTATTCCAATTTATAGTAAAGCTGTACTTCTGTCCAAAATGTTACCTCTCTGGCTTTAGAGGTCATACCAGCTATCACGATAGCACTGAGTAGTGCAGAATTAAGCTTTAAGGGATGATATGTCTGTAATTCAAAACTAACTAACTAAATAAAAGGTAGGGAAAATAATAAAATAAGTTATGTTGCTGCCAAATGTGGTCATAGTTTCAGCATAGAAGCAAATAAATTCAAGTATTCCATAGTCTTGTCTTTGAGCATTTTTCCATTACAGAGTATATGGAAGGTTGACTGAATCATTGCCCTTGTGTATGTATTCATGTATTGTTTTAGGATTATTAATTATCACCTATGGTCACGAGATGATCCTTTAACAGTAAAATCATGGGGTGTTGTTTTCATTTTTTCTACACGTGCTTTTCTGAAGGGGAGGACTTGAAGTATGGGTAAAAATAATCTCATGACTCTAAAGAAGACCCAAAGAAAATGAAATAGGTGGTTGACAAAAGAAATGAGGTCATCTTGCAGTTCTCTGATGTTGTTTTGGATAACATTGCTCACAGTTTGTTCTGTTTTGTCTGCTTCTTACATGTAATGAAGATTGAGTTAATTTGATGTAATAAAATCATTTTTCTCTTCTAATAAAATTATATATACTAAATTAATTAGAGATCTCACTTGTCTGTTGCAGTCTGTGAGAGGAGATTCAAATTCAAGCCAAATTTAACCTGTTAGATTCTGCGCCTTTCTGACCAGCTTGATTTATTTTTTTTACTCTAGCAACAGGGATAACTCATTTTTGTCAAGACTTTGGTGGAGAGAAGGGATGAAAGGAAGGCTGTGTATGAAAGAACTTTTGGTTTTCCATTGGCTGCATACACCAAGATAAAACAGAGAAAAGTGGAGAGTATGATCTTGTTTACTGTATTGAATAACATTGTAAAAAAATGAAACTTCAAATAATAATAATCTCTTTTGTGCTCTTGCTTTAGTCTTCTTTATGTATGCAGACAGTTGACACTGCATTTGTTTTTTCTTTTTCCCTGGTGTGTCTTTACGTTACAGAATGAGTGTTTTTTTAAAGGTTCTTGTGTACACTCAGAAGTGTGAGTGGGAAGATGTCATAGGAAGATGGGAAAAGATATTATTAAACCTTGTTATTTCTAGTATAGTGGGTCACCTAATAATAAAACATACTGATATTTCCTCTATAAAACCTCTTACTTGATCTTTACATTGGATGAAAGTAAGGATTTCTGCCTCTAATGCCTTTTTTTTTCAAAATGACCCCTTTTTAATGAGAATAAAATAACAAAATAGTTCAAATACTCATCATGCTTAAAAAAAAAAAAAAGGCACAACAACTGCACAATGCAATTAAGGCCTTTGTTTTTTTTTGTCAACAGCATAGGGGAGAAGCTATGAATATCTTGACTTAATAGCACCTGCTCTAATGGTAGTACATTTTAATAACATTTGGTTTTGAACCTTTTTTAATTTAAAATCAGCAAAGAAATAGCTGCATGTAATTCGTATCTTCCTTCCCCATGCAATTACTAAAATTGACATAATGTGCAGCCATGTTATTATTGCCATATGAATAAACAGGAGCATGAGGTTTTTATTTCAGGGTCTTTTTCGTAAATGACATTTTATAAAGATAGAGTATAAATGAGACAATAAGGAATAAGATTCTGGGAATGTTAATCTCATGTATCATATATTTCTAAACATATTCTTATGTGATATGATTTTATGGTAACAAGATTCAAGCTGAGAAATGAGTTTCGATAATCACTGTTCGCTCATTTAACCATGCTAATATTACTTGGATGTTCTGCTAGTCTTAAGTGCATTCTTAAAGATCTTACTCGTTTACTCTTTCAAGATTGTCTCAGTAACTGGATAGAATAAAGGATGCTTGCAAGAGTGAAAAATTGTTCTCTATTTTTTTCTGTATTTGTTTGCAAAGGTGAGGTAAAGATACGAGTGTATCCAGGTCTGATAGTAAGTGAGGAAATACTGCATGTCAAAACAAACCAAACTAAAGCGTATGGAAGTTCGTGTTGTACTGTGTGATTACATTTCTCTTGTGCTCTAAAGATCAGTCCATTTTAATTTTCAGAGATATGTAAAATGTATTTTGTTTGCAGGCACTGATGACATTGTAGGGCCTGACGGTATGGAGAAATTTTGTGAAGACATTGGAGTAGAACCAGAAAATGTAAGTTAAGGCACCTTTTGAATGGAGCTTGGTGTATTATGATGTAGATGAACACAGATGTCTTAGTTATGTTAATTTTCCATCAAAAATTACAAATGGAAATTTTAGAGGGGAAAAAAAAAAGACAAATATAAACCAGGTTTAAATACACTTTTGGAACCAACTTGCCTTTATTCTAAACCCAAAGCTTTTAACTTGAGTAAAAATCTATTTTGGCTTTGCAGCAATCCCTTCTCTTTCTTTTCCCCACTTCCCTCCTGTCACAAGAAAGAAATGAAAAAAATAAAAAATTAAAGAAAAAGTGATGGTGTCTTCTCTAAGATAACACTGGAGGTTTAATGAACAGCTACAAGCTATTTTTTTCTAGGTGATTAGACTAGATGATAGAAGGTGATCTCAAATATTGTGAGCAATGTTAGCACTCCCATTATGCCATATCAAAACCCAAATAAAGAGAATATTGTATACATTTTCCAATTTATGTATACAGTATATGTTTCTCTTTCTCATATGTATATCTATATTCCTCTTTTTTTAATGTCAAATGTAACTTGTCTCAAATTTAGTGCTTAAATTTTGTAAAAGTTTTGTAGCTTGTACACTGTCTCATATTCTTCATATTCTACATTACTACAGTGGCATGGTATGAATGCTGCCTTGAAGAAGCAAGGTGGCTACTAGTAACCTGATTGATATTGCCTATCTTTGTGCAGCTGTCATTTTGTTTTAATTATGTGTAAGTTTGTGGTATTTAAATAATTTAACTTTTAAAGCAGTTGCTCATTAGCAAAGTCCTGAAAATACTGTTTATATGAAAAAATATTTGTAGCAACTGTTTGAAAAATGTGTGGATGATTCTGTCAATATTCTTCAGTCAGTCTTTTTTTCTCTTAAACAGGTAGTTATGCTTGTATTAGCCTGGAAGCTGGATGCACAAAACATGGGCTACTTTACATTACAAGAATGGTTGAAAGGAATGACATCGCTACAGTAAGTGCTTTGAAAAACCTTTAAGTTTTTTTAATAGTATTTCCTACTGCTTATGGTTATTCAGAGACAGCTTGAAATCTGACAGCTGCATGTTATATACAGTTGATTTAAAACGTCTGCAGTCTCAAGAAAACAAATGTCATGAGGTACATAGTTTCTATCCCCAACTGCATCTGTCTTTGTCGCTGGATTTATATATTAGCTTTCTAACCTTTACTGTCATTGCATATGAATTAGATATTGCCATGTTATTAGATTATGTGCAGTTTAAAATGCTTAATAGTGCAACCCCTTTTTGTGAATGGATTTTTCTTTCATAGAGTTAAGAGCTTTATGGCATACTTAACATAAAAGTAGTTGAATAGCCATGTTTCGTAGAGTGTGGGGGAAAGACTTACCTTACAAAGCAGAATCACGAAGACTGTGTATAAGTTCTATAGTTTTGCTGATGCTATAAAAGTATTGTTTCCCTTCTGTGGTTTGCTGGTATCGCGATGCGTAGACAAGATCTTGGTTTAATCTATTGGAGAGTGCGTTTTCTGCAAACCCAAACAACTTCTTATCAGAGTAACAGCATAATACTTCACTATTTTATCTAAATCCATTTCATGCTGTGGGTTAAATCAAGGCATCTTACTTATATACATAAACTCATACCTTTTGTGTTTTGTGGAGTTACGGGGACGCATTTTACAGATTCTCTTTTAAAAACACCAGGCATTTGTATAAGAATGTATGCTGTAAATTCACTCTTTGCTTTTCTTGTAGATGTGATACTACAGAAAAATTGAGAAATTCTCTGGATTACTTGAGATCTTTATTAAATGAGCCTACCAATTTTAAACTTATTTATAGATATGCATTTGACTTTGCACGGGTGAGTATTGCAGAAGGCCAGCAACTTTGGTTTCATAGGTAATGTTTAAAAGACCTTATGTTTCTCTTAAGTATGTTTCTCTTAAGATACTCAAGATTGCTTTCAACAAATGGAAATGTTCATGCTTTCAACAAATGGAAATGTTCATGTTCCTAAAAAAAAGTACATGCAAATTGACAGAATTGGAAAGGAAAAGTATAGGATGTTTTAGTGTTTAGTCACATTGTCACCTTTCTGCTTCAAATGGGAAAAAATGATTTAGGCCTTATTCTCTTGAATTTACTTCCACTGGCTTTATAATTACCCTATTTTTTTCCTTATTGTTTGATTTTTGTGAGCATAGATTTATTTAAAATGAGGAGGCATTTCTGCAAGTGGTAAAAATAATATAAGGTTATAATACAAATACTGGTTTAGAAAATTGTTCGAAGGTCTTCAATGATGTTCTCAGCATTTATTGAACAATATCCTGATAACAGCCTTCTTGCTGAGGTAATATAAGAAAACATAATAGGAAAAATTTGAATTGCTAGCAATTCCGATGGTTAAGTCTCTCATAAATAACTCATGCTGGTATAGCATTGCTTCCTGCAAGTCAACATGGAGAGTTTTGTGGTAGCTCGCTTTTAACCAAGCTGGATATGAGAATGTATGGAATTAGTATGTGAGAAACAAAAGACATATCAATGTTTTAATACCTCCTTTGCTGTGTACTTAACCCCAGCAGGCAGCTAAACACTACACAGCTGCTTACTTCCTTCTCACCGTCATACAGTGGGACAGGGGAAAGGGAAAGGAAGAGTAAAAGCAAAAAAAAAAAAAAAAAAAAAGTCTGTGGGTTGAGATAAATGTTCATTAAGCAAGGGATAAGTGAAAGAAGAGAAAGAAAGAACAAGTGATGCAAAGGCAATTGCTTACCACCTCCCATAGGTAAAACAATGTCTAGCCAGTTCTGGAGCAACAGACAGTTAACTTCCCTGAACTTGCTCCTCTCTCCTTTATTCCTGAGCACGTTGCTATATGGCAAGGAACATCTTTGCTTGATTTGGGTCATCTGCCTGGTTGCATCCCCTCCCAGCATATAGCACAACTACAGTCTGTTCGCTGGGAGGGCAGAGAGAGAAGCAGAGAAGGCCTTGATGTTGTGCAAACACAATTTAGGTGTAGCTAAAACATTGCTGTGTTATCAGCTTTGTTTTGGTCACAGATGTGAAACAGCACCAGAGAAGCTGCCGTGAAGAAAATTAATTCCGTCCTAGCTAGACCCAGTACACCGTGGGGAGGTTTCTACTGATTTTGCTGAAAATAAAATGCAAAGGCTAGAAATACCTAACATTAACAAAGAAGTTCAAGGTATTGATGAAACATTTTGAATTGATTGAAAAGTCTTACTAATAGCAAATCTGAATTAGCTGGTGGCCTATCCAAAATAAGTGAAGAAACTTTAAAGGAGGACAGTGGGTAGAGAATTTTCAAGAGGTTCCAAACTGATCTGACAAATGTAGGTCTTAAGGACTTTTTAGACAGACAGATGCTGTGATACTGTTTGAAAGAGAGGCAGGTGTTTCATGGCTTGATGTTTTATCCAAAATATTGGGGGGGGGGGAAGATCTTGAAAAGACTAATAGTATTGTAAAAACAAATACTGAAATTTATCAGAGTTTATCAATATTTTCTGTCTACGGTATCCAAGAAAAACATTACAAGCATCTGGAATGCATGTTAATAATAAAAAGCCCAAAGTAAAGACAATAGGGGCTGATTTAATTAGTACTTGAGTGTGTGGGAAGAATTAAAGTATATAAGTAGTACTGAAAGTAAGATTTCTACTTAAAGATGTTGGTGACAAGTAAGGTGTAAACTGACTTTGGAAAGAGAATTAGTTTTTAGAACTATTTGACACTGGAAATAAGTGAAAGGGTTTGTATCATGCTAATATAAAGATGTCTCTGCAGGTTTCTCTTTCAGCATTATTACTAATTAAAAACCTTTGTTCATCCTAGAATTTACTTTATTTCTCTAGGTCAGATAGAGCGATGTCCCTCTTATATTTAATGATGAGAACATAAAACAGTTTGTGGCGTTTTTGCAGGCCTCCCCACTTCCCTTCCAGAATGAAACTGCATTAAATTCTGTCTACACAATTTTAGAAGTGAGGTGTGTTTGTGTTTCAAATGGTTTCAGGAAGATAGAATAATCTTGTGGCTAAGGCATTAAGTTGTCAGAGAACTGGGCTCTTGCTTTACCACGTCCTTCCTGTGTGATAAAGACAATTTGCATATGTTTTGAGATATTTTTAAAATAAAAACACCAAAACCCCTGTGTATTTTGTTACATGTAGACACATTACTGCACGTCCAGTGGTGAAGCATAGGGCTGAATTTTCTTTGTTTTATGTAGCTGTCTTGCACTGTTTTGTTAGGTGCTCCCTATATCCCTGCTTTTTCTGAAGTTAGACATTCCTGTTTGCAGTCATGAGTGCAAAAGTTACCAAGGTCAACAGTAGTCCATACAGGTTTTTTTTTGTGACTTCATTTCTGAATTGGTAGCTTAATTGCTATAATCAAGATATATGAGGGTGGTTTTTTATATCCAATCTGTCATAAAAATGTGTTTAATTTCAAGGCAACAAATGTAGACGGATTAACTACTTAAACCTATGTATGCGTTACTTTTCAAAATGTGCAGAAGTCATGTTATCAAATACATCAACATCAACTTTTCCACTAATCAGATGTAATGAATCTGCTAGGTACAAATTGTTCTTGTTCTTCTTTAGAAGACAAACTAACCAAACAAACCAAAACCCCACAAAAGCAGCAGCAATCAACAAAAATCTCCTCTCTCCACAAGCCATAAAATACCGCTGTGATGTTGACACAAAACTGGGTTAGTTTTGAGATGAGTCTGCACGTGTGAGGTGTTAGAATATTGTGTTCCCTCTGCTTGTCATCGGTTGAAGAGCAGAGCAAAGAACTTCCTCTGGGCACTCTCACGTAGTGTTAACTGATAGCTGCTTAGCTATCGTCTTTTGGTTCCTGTAGCTTCAAGAATACCTCAGGAAATATGTAGTGGTACTATTTTAAGACACTTATGGCTATGTAGATGCATTCATGCAATGTTGGTAGGGGTGTAATGGCCATTGTTTTCTTGAAGAGTCTTAAGTTGTGAGCAAGAGTATATTCCTCCTCTCAATACTTTCTCAAAAAAATTGTCACTGTTTTAGAAAGCATCCTATCTTTATAGCAGGCCATTAGCTGCGAGGAAGGAAGCCTTACTAGGGAGTTACATTTAAATAATTAAAAAAAAAAAGGTTAGACACTGCTATTTATTAACATGTTTTATGAATGTGTGAACTGTAGTCTAGGCGGTGGGGATGCTTGAAAAATCCCAAGATAGTGCTTTTTTGTTCCTTGACTTTTTAACTTTTTCTGTTTGACACAGGAAAAGGACCAGCGCAGCCTAGACATAAACACTGCCAAGTGTATGTTGGGCCTTCTTTTAGGAAAAACGTGGTCTCTTTTTCCAGTATTTCACCAGTTTCTAGAGGTAAGAAGGTTGAAATGGAATTATTTTATTTTGTCTGCCTTCTCTGACACTAGTTTAATTAGATATAAAATAAACAGCTATGATTTTTTCCTGATTTTTAAAATATACCAACCCCTCCAATACTGTACTTGTAACTGGTTATCTTTACTTTCATCCTGTTCCTCAAATCCCTGTGCTGTTAAGGTTTATTTAACATGGGACAAAGTATAGAATGTCTTTCATTTCCTTCTGGAGTTGTATTCTGTTGATGCATGGTTGTTCACTGAAAGATGCCTTAGTGGGAAACATGACATATTCAACACTGAGTTGACTATTTATTGTCTTTTTAAATCTTGTTTAGTTTTAGTTGATATAAATAAAATCGTAATTCATCAAAAGGCTTAAATTTTCTGTAAGAATATCTGAAGCTGAGGGAGTTGAAAATATATTTCAGTAATTCATGTTTCTTGCCTTAAGCAGCAATCAAAATACAAAGTTATCAATAAGGACCAATGGTGTAATGTTCTTGAATTCAGCAGAACAATTAACCTTGACCTCAGTAATTATGATGAAGATGGAGCCTGTAAGTACTGCCATATGTTGGTGTTGTAAAGTAATTCATTTCTTTGAGATTAATCATTTGGTGTCCTCTTACAAAATTTTGTAAAATGCAGTTATTTGATCTCTCTACAGGGCCAGTATTGTTGGATGAGTTTGTGGAATGGTATAAAGGAAAACAGATGACATAGGAGTTTAACTATGCACAGCCACTCAAGAGTCACTGTTACCACAGTTAATGTCAACCATTAGCCATAAACTGCTATTTGTATCAAAGTGCATGCTGCTTTTCTTGCACTGTGTCCCTTTTGCAGGGAACTTTTGATGTTTGCTATTTAACAAGCTAGCTCTGCTTGCTGTGTAGCATTGTTCTCTTTGAAGGCTGCTTTGCATTTTGTATTTACACTACAGATTGGTGAACTTGCCAGCGTCTTCACTGTGATTATGTGTATATTGCTGTCTAAATTTTGTATATGTGTATAAAAAAAAAAGCTTCAACTAGGGATTATTTCTGCAGAAACGTATTGTAAAAATAATTTTGTGGCATATTTCTAGTCATCACTTACATGTTGAAACTTTAGTTCTTTTGCTTTTCTTTTGGTCTCAAATGTAGCATTTCAGAAAATGAAATGAACAGACTGCTTGGACATAGTTACGCTGAAGAACTATTGTCGATTTCAATGTTACTGTTTGAGATGCCATTTTCTGAGGGGAGAAGACATGCTGTGACTTTCTTCACGGGAATTCGCCAAACATAACCTATTGCTTAATAGGAATGAAACGTTGGTGTCTTAAAAAAAAATAATCATATATATATATATAAATATTAAAACACTGTAATAGTTGTATATGCCACAGATGATTTCCATTTGAAGAAAAAAGTGACTTTTTAATGTTAAAACTGCAGTAGTCATTACAGGTACAAATGAACAAATTAAAGTACCTTTTAAAAATGGGTTTTAGACTTTTGTAAATTGCCTTTGGCATACTCCTTTTAATTTTTGGTGTACCAAGAGTGTTTGGACTATGTTGCAATACAGTGAAATTTTAAAGTTCTAGGTAAAATTAGTGGTCTGGGGAATAGTCTGCTCACCCCTAGCACATAGGTAGTGCAGATTTCTTTCTTTTTTTTTTTTTTTTTTATTTGTAATATAAGTCTTTTCCATAGTCTCTAACTTTTGTGTTTCCGAGTAATTAAACCTATTAGATTAAGTAGTTAAAACATTGCTTTTTCTTTCACGCTGGGGATTGAAATTTCCTAGCAGGATGTCCATTGCAGGCAATGGCCATGTTAAACACCAGCATTGCACGACAGTACTTTTTTCTTAGGGACCACATACATCCTATTTTACTAATTTCCTTATTTGCATAGGAGAGTTCTTGTGGTAACTCTGGGGAAGATGAGTGAGAGGAATGATGTTTAATTTCTGTTTTTTTGTTTTTTGTTTGTTTTTTTTTTCTCACACAGTCTTTGCCTTACCCTTCTTCATTAAAAAATGTTAGTGTTGATTTTTATAAATAGGTTCTTTAATTATCTGGTGCTACTAAACATAGAGTCCTAAGGATATAGTGAAATGTTCCATACTCATTCATGGAACATTTAACAAAAAAGGGCCAGTGGATGTTTTGGAACAAAGAATAACATTACTTTTCTGTAGAAATATTTGACAAGGTACTGGCGGTTTTGACATTTCTTCAGAATGCAAACTGGGGTGTTGGGGGGGGGGGGGCGAGATGAGTCTTAGGTTGAATGTGAAATATGTGAAATTTTCAGCTGTATTGAAGATCCTATTATAACCGAGTTTGGGAACAACTGTTATTAACTTGACTACTTTCGGGACAAGGTCTAGTTTAGGAAATGCGCATTTGTCTGCTGTCCTGCACTGGGAGGTTGCACCTGTGCTATGGGTGGTCTGATTCTGTTCAAATCTGTTTTGTTGTTGATGGTTTTTGTTTGTCAGAACAAGCTGCCAAAGACAAAAATTGTTTGTGTGTGTTTGTGTATATTTGTATATACATAAATATACAGTCTGTATACATATACAAACCCCAGAATTTCAAGATGCTGATGAGAAAATACTACTCTTCCTCATGAAAAATTCATGTCCGGATTTCCATGACACTAAATAAATAGCATTCTTTAAAGTTAGTAGTGGTAAAACATACATAGTCATTGCTTCTTCTTGTCCTAATACATGTAACCTTAATTCCACGTTGGATGCCAGTTTGCACAAGAATTTAATTCAGTGGTATTTAATGTTTACAATAAGCCTCTTACTAAAACACACGTTTTATTAAGACTTCTGATGTAAATGTGTATATTACCATAGTATAACCACCGTAAGTATCAGTGGAGCTGCTGGTTTAGTTCTTAAAAGAATTAACTTAGAAGCAATATAACTCATAACATTAGGCTAAATTGTGTTTGCTAAAATTTTAAGTGAAATACTGGAGTTGTTCTTAAAAGTTAGGCTAGTTACTGACTCTAGAGGACTGTTTAGCACAAATTGGCATGAATTACTGCTCAAATACAAGGTTTGCATAAAATGTTTTGTATGGCACAAATAATTTGCCTTCCAGTAAAGGAAGCAAGAGCCAAAGACATTTTTAATCCATTATTTTTATAGGTGTAATTTTCACATAACAGGGTCAACAGAAATCTCCTCAGTTAACCAGGTGTTCTTTTTCCAAGTTTCGCTAATATTTAGCGGAATACAAAATTTGACAGCGAAGTAAACAGAGGAAAACAAAGCTCAGAAAGTATTCATGCTGTATAAACAGACTTCATTTTTTTTTCTTTGGGTAAAAGTGATTGGGAGTGATGGAAAGGAGGAATGTGCTTAGAAATGGATTAGATACTGCACATATTATCTTCCACTTGCAACCAAGATGAATCTGTAGTGTTCAGCTGGTTTGTAACAAGTAACTTCATGAAATAAATCACAGATGCAAGTTGACAACTTACAGAGATGTAAATGGACTGAAACAGACGTGTATGGCTTGATAACTGCCCCTGTGTTACTCATCCTTCTGTTTTTGCTGTTTGCTGACCAGCAAGGGAGCCCAACATTGCTAGTCTTGTGTTTTGCAGAAATTCCCTGTAGTTTTTAAATAATTGTGGAAGTTTAACTAAGCCACTCAATTTACTGTGTATTTAGTACAAGTTTGGTGTTTACTTTTTTGTTTGTTATGCTGTAATGTAATTAGTTTCCCCCACACACACCTATTTGAATAATAATATCCAGCATATCCTGATAGCTTTAACAAGAAACTGAGAGGTCATTCTGGCAGAAATGCCACAAGTCCTGTGCTAATCCTTCTGGGGTAATATAACTGCTCTTATTAGCAGAAGCTTGATCGTCTATGTACAATTCATGCTTGGTATTTGGAAGACGTAAAGTAGAAAGCCAGTTATTTAAAGGAAAACAGCATCCGGAGACGCTTTAAGTTGATAGATGGTAAACATTTGGAGCTCTTTACTATTCAAATAACTGTAGAGAATATTAGTAATAGAAACATTTCACAAATTAGATTTGTGTATATTTCATTTTACAGCAAGATAGTATTTTAAATATGAATTTTAATTCTTTTTCAAGAAATGCGAGGAGGATGGAATTTCTTGCATTTCTTTATGTACTTGAGCTTTCAGCTGAAACCTGTTTAAGGTTGCCTTTAAGCTACAATAAATATTTGGGTCACCTTTGTGTGGCCTCCTACACATGTAGAGGACTGGAGACCCCATTTTGTCAGAAATACATGCATTTTATTTCATCACAAATACACTTGCACAATCAAAAGTAGTTTTAGCTCATTGTTACTTGGTTAATGTCCCCAAGTTAACTTTTTTGGAGGGCAAAAATAAAAAAGGATTTCAGTTGTGTTAAGGCTTTCCCAGATTTCTGTTGACTCTTGGTCACAAGCCTAACATTGTTGAATACTCTTGAAATTCATGTAGACAGCTTTAAAGGTTAGCTTGTGCCCTGCTTTTAATTATAACTGCTAAAATACCTCCGTATAAGCCTTATATCTTATCCTTTCATATTGCTATAAAAGCGTGTAGAATCCAGCCATCCAGCCACCAACTAAACAGTTAATTGTCTGTAATCGAGACTGAAACATGGGGTTGTTTCTCAGTATTTTTCCCCTGTGCGTGTATGTGTGTTGTCACCAAATAGTTCTTACCGATGCTGCTGTTGTAGGAATAGCAGTTAACCTGTAATCATGAATGCTTTATGTCTTAGTTACTTGGGTATGACATACATGAGGTGTGCTGAACTCCTGTGACTCTCAACCCAGTGAAAATACTGTTACACCACTTAACATGAGTTCACTCAGTTGATTTATAGGTCTTTTGCTGGTGTTGATGTAAAATGGCATCTCACAAATAAACAGTATTTGTGTTGGTTTCAGAAACTGACTTCAGGTTTTTCTGTGGTCCGTACTAAAGAAATTCCTTGTATGTGAATGCCTGACCTCAGCTGGTGACCTTTATCATTTAGCTTATCATTTAGCAGCAGAAAACTTCTCTTGGCTGACAAATTCTGTTAAAAGAGAATATATGCAATCACATGATCCTTATTCTCAATATTACATCAAATCAAATATTTTCAACACTTCATTGGAAATGGGTATGTTTCAAATGGGATGTGTGGGTACAAAAATACTGTGATACAAAAGTTTTCAAAAGGCTAATTAACAGTATCTCCGGCTGCATCAGAAGTGTCATCAGCAGGTGTCATGAGGGAGGTAATGCAAAGAGGAGGGAGCCAAGCTCGTTTCAGTGGTGCCCAAGGGTGGGACAAGAGGCAGTGGAACACAGGAGGTTCTCTCTGAACATCAGGAAGCACTTTGTTTACTGTGGAGACTCCCTCCTTGGAGATCTTCAAAAGCCACCTGGACATGGTCCTGGGCAACCTGCTGTGGGTGTCTGCTTCAGCAGGGGTTGGACCAGACGGCCTCCAGAGGGCCCTGCCAGCCTTAGCCATTCTGTGATTGTGAAGATCTGAAGCATAAATTCTAGATACTATTTGTACTGGAAGAGAGCTTAAGTCTAGTCATATTTGAATGTGGGAGTATTTATATCTGAGGCTCTTCATGACCTCAAATACTCATGTTTTCCTTAGCTTTTAGAAGAGTTTGTCAATTATATGATTTGTAATGGGCTGCTGAGTTGACCTTTTCAAAGCAAAAGGGGTAATATCTAAGCAGAACAATAGAAAAGCTGCTAGCAATAAGACATGAAAATTGCAGCCTAAATGTCTCTAGTACATTCACGACTTCAGTTTTTAAAACAGCCATGAGTTAACCTTCCTACTTAATACTGCCTGCAGAATTCCAAATCTGGTGGTGAATAGGAAGCATGCTTGTAAAGCCTGACAAAGAAAATAAAGGAAGAGGCTTACACCCTGTAAGAAGGGTGTGCCCAAACTGTTACCAAAACAGTCAGCTCTTTGGTCTTCATTTGAGAATTCATCCAGCATATGCTGACTGCTTTTTTATGGGGCCTGTTCTGTGACATAGTTTACTTGCTATCAGCTGTGGTAGTAACTTATATCTTAGGTGATCATGATTTTTTTGGTACCTGAAGTTACTGGTGAAGCTGAAGAAGTTCCAACATCCCTAGAGCAGTTCCAGTCACACCTCTTTGCAAGCATAACTTCTGTGCAGGAGGAAAAAGAAAAAAAAAAAAAGTTGTGCCTGTCTAATGTACATTTATACTCCTATGTCTGCAACTGTTTTTGTACTAGAATAAGTATTCTTGAAAATAGTGACCAAACAAGCCAAATGAGGAATATTTTCAGTTCCCAGAAGATATGATTGATTACAATAGCTGAAAGGTAAAGAAAAGTGAATGATGATAGAACCTCAGAGGGATTCAGCGAGTGGGGGATTGCGTACCTTTTGGGCACTGAAGGGCCTGGAGAAATAGGGTGTAGGGAAAAAAGAGCATTGAAGGCACACAGTATAAAGAGTATTGGCTGGAAGCCATGGGAAATATATAAGATTTTGTATTATTTCTGAGAGCAGTTGCTAATGATATGAGGAACTAATGAAAAGGGGAAGGAGCTGAATATTTGAGTTTGAATGAATACGTGATGATAACGAGTGTCTACAGTGCTCAGCAGCAAAGCAAAGGTGCAAGATTTAGACAGAAATGTGAAGGTAAGTTTCAGACAATATCAACAATATTCTGATAGTAGAATTCATTCTACTTAGTCGTTAATTTACTCCTTCATAAAGGAATTTTTTATTTTCTTAGTGGATATGATGAGAACAGAAGATAATCTTTTTTTTTTTCCCTGTAGCTTTATGGCACAAAGGGAGGCTTAGAAAACTTGCTGTTCCTCCTAAGTAGTGTACAGTATGCATTGCTACTGCAGCTTTTTGGGCAGAAAAAAAAAAAGATGAAACATTTTTCCAATATATATTTTGAAAGCCTGCTGAACTGTAGTGGAAGCGACTGACAAAATATTCCTGTGTTTGCAAACGTGGTGGACTTTAGAGACTTCTAACCCAGAAATTTGGTTTAAAAAAGCAGAAGATGCTAAAATATCCTCTCATGTTTCATGTATAGCGGGATTCCAATAGGAAAACACAATAAGAGCGATAATGTAATAATTTCAGTGTTACATTTATTTTAAACAGAGAAATAAAACAGTGCATATCAGTGAGAATTTCCAAAGGAAACTAGTATCTTCATAACAAGAATAAATAAGACAGTGATTATATACTATTACTATAACTCAGCAAACCTTTATTAACACTTAGAACTACCGAGTTCACTCATTTGAGTATCCCAGAGTAGTTTTTCATGTTCCCTACCCCTTTTTATTATTTTACACACAAATACCCTTGTAAGCACAAGTCCAGAGTATCTGGCTTATTTGTCCACAGACATTTTTGCACCTGTTGTATGACAAAACCCCTGCAGGAGCGTAGTGTTACACTTCTGTGTCTGGACTGCTGCAGTCTGTTGTGCTTCGCAACATGACTGCAAATCCGTCAAATGCTCTTTTCTTCTTAGCAAAAAACTGGCCCTGTCTGGTCTGAGGTTTTGGAGTGAGTTTTTCACTTGAATTTGGGAGGCTGACAGCTGTTGTAGAATCGTTCTTCAGTCCTGACAAGGTAGTGCCATCCTCCTTCTCACTGGAATCAGTGTTCCTGGGGGTTTTATCTCCTGCACTCTCTTGTGGGAATGAGCTGTGTTGTAGGCTTCCCTTAAAGAAACTGGATGGGACTGATAAGGAATATGCATCCTCTTCACTTGGATCCAACTGGAAATGCTTTTCTGTGTTGAAGGCTGGCTCTGTTTTCCCAGAAGATTGAATGTGCAGCAAATCTGCCATAACACTACGAGGCTGCATTTCTTCAGGAGAGCTACAGCTGCTGCTATCCTGTAATTCTACGTGTTCATCATACTCCTCTTCATTAAAACTTTGCATTTTATATCCCCAAGTCTTAGTTCTGTTCCCATGCTCACCCTGTGGTAATGAGTCTTCTTTCTCACTGCTAAACTTAAAAGGTTTTTCGGTTTTGTCTTCCAGCAGGGATTGAAGAGGCGATTCATTGCTGCCCATGCTGGCATGCAGTAGTGGTGCTTTTTTAACAGTTTCCTTCAAACCAATATCAATGGGAGCAAAAGTAAAAGAACTGTTCTGGGAAGTACTGCTGTTTTGTCGTGCTGTAATGTCCCTTTCATCATGATCACTTTCTGAGGAGCTCCCATCCGTGAGCTCTTCTGTGCTTACCTCTGGTGCACGCTCTTCCTGTTCAGTGGGACTGGATCTGGGGAAATGCTGTGGCCGAATGGGAAACTGCAGCTGCAAGTCAGTGTCCTCAGGAGCATTTTCTGTATTTCTTGCATATGAGGGAGAAGGTTTTAATGAAAGTGATGTGCTACTAAAGTCTGTATCATGTTTGCGGGGAGAATCTGAAATAGAGTTTTGTATGGTTGACTCTTCATTGGTAAAATAGTCAAATGATTCAGAAACTTTTTGACTTGAACTAATTGAGTCTGAATCTGATGTGTTTACACTATTGCTACGTTTATCAGTGTCAGGTGATGCTGCTTTAGCCGTGATAGTATTTGACTCGTAGTAGCGACGTAGTAGTTGATAGTATCTGAACCCATCAGAAGCATTTTCAAGATTTACATTGTGCTTGTCTTCATTTTTTCTAGCTTGCTCAAGTTCAGCAGCAGTGTTTGGGTGCTCTGGCCGTGCTGAGCAATAAACACTTTCACTGTCAGCATCAGCTTTCTCTAGTGACGGCTGAGGGGCCGGCAGGCTGCTGCTGGCACCAGTTTGTTCCGGTTCAAAATCTTCTAAGGAGCTCTCATCACTCATTGTGAACGCAGTCCCTTCATCTGAGGAGCTGTCACCGAAGAAATCTGCTATATGACCTCGCTCAGCAGCACCTTCTGTTGTGCGGTCATACTGTGCACGAGGAGAGTTTTCTGTTTTTCGGTAGTCACTTAAATCCTCAGTCTTTGTATCTCTCGTACAGTTCCTAGATAAAGTCAAGTCTCCGACATCACCGGTTATATTTATATTGCCATTTAGACCAAGTTCTCCATCCCATCTTTGCCTTCCAGGCATAAGTTTTGCCATGTTTAGGGGTTCATTATGTGAAACGACACCTTTTCTTTCAGGAGAGACTGGTGCAGGCTCTGTAATTTCAGACTGCAGCTGCTCAGCGTTGTTTCCCACCTTGCTGTTCCTAGAATCCTGTGTGCTTGTATGGGATTGTCCTCTGGGAAGTGGGATGCCAACTTCTCTTGCATAGGATAAATCTGAATCTGAAGAGTCAATGTGAATCGAATAAATGTTGGAATTCGTTCTGCTGGGTGTGGGAGGGAGCCTGCTCTTCTCTAAATCTTCATAATTTGCATGTTGTGAGTGTTCCCATAATGAAGTATCATTGCTTATTAATTTCATTGGTGTTATTTCCCTGTTGTTTTTGTTATCTGTCCTTGCAGAAGGTTGTCCGAACTTCATAAATTCGGAATTGCTGGAATTAGCTCTGATGTCTGAAAGCACTGGGTCTTTCTTCATGTCAGTCTTCTTCTTGTTTTGGTTTGGGTACTGTTCAGCATTCGGTGTGTGCACCATGCTGTCAGTGATACACTCATACAAATGGTCAGCGTCTGCAGGAACAGCGCGTGTGCTTTTTGAAAAATTCTCGTAAATAGCGGACAGGTTTTGCTGCCTGGTTGGGGGTTGGCTTGTATAGCGCTCTCTTCTCAGGGTTTCATCTGCAAAAGCTTCATTGGAATAAGTATGCTCCGAACCTCTACTTTTGTTTCTGTGCATGCACATCCACAGGCGCACAAGGTAGGGTCTAGCAAAAACACCCAGGCAAAAAGCGCAAAAAAACGTAATGAACACAGAGAGGCAGATGGCCAGGGTAAAGTCCACCTTTGCTCTTTCTTGTCTAAAATCAGGGTTCGTGTCCCGGGTTTTTCTAACCAAAGATGTTGAAACCTGTTCTTTCACCTGTACGTTGTAGATGAGGTATTTCTTTGTTGTATTAAAAGTACACATATATAATCCTTCAGCATTTTTTTTGGCATTGTGTATTACTAAACTGCTCCATTTATCCAGTGTCATGTGAGGAAGACTACTTCCTTCTGAAATCCTGCCTTTAGGTGTCCACCAAGAGACTCCATTGCCTGAAAGAAAAGAAAACACAAATGAAAACGTGTTTAAAAGTAGAGGATACTTGGCTTGCAGGGTCAGGTTATTTCTATAAAGTGATATTCTGGCCTATCTGTGGTAATTTTAATGTTATTTTTATAAACATCAATTTTCTTTTTATCCATAGTTACTTGATGTTGTGCCAAGTATCTGTCAAACCATCTTCAGTTTAGTACTTCCTCTACGTTAAAATAGAGCACACGTGGTGTCTTAATAGCAGACTTTCCACGAAAACTGGTGTGGGTGGGGGAGAAAGTCCCTGAAACGATGTACGGTCTTGGTCCTGCTAGAAACTGCTGTTGGCTTTACCCTCTCACGTGCAAATGCACTCATTTCATTTTGCTGTGACTGAATACTAGAAGCAATATTGTATCCTTCTCATTTTTCTATGTTCACCCAGAATTACTACCCCACAGCTATTTATCACAGTAAGAGGAAAGCCTTTTCTGTCCTTTGTTTGCATTCGGTAGGTAATGTACACATTTACATACTGAGATTTGTGTATCATTGGGCGTTAGTGTCACTTACTAGTTTAATGTTACAAAGGAGATGAAGACTTCTTTGGGAACTAGAACTTACAAATATTCAGCTATAGTACTTTCTACTTAATTAACTGACATGTTAAATTCTTGTTCAATTATTTTTAAAATAGCATCTTTAGAAATCCACTTTTCAAACCATGTTTCTTTGATCATTTTGCATGTGTTTGGATGTCAGCAGCATGTATGGACAGAGTCCCTGTTTTACCTACCCCCTGTGTTACCCGTGTCACAGCGTAGCACTGATGTCTGCCCTGCTGGGATTGCAGCCGTCTCGAACAAAATGCCCTCACTGCAGTTCAGATGGAAACTGGAAAGGTACAGTACAGGTTTCTTGGAGTTGTTGGCAGATTTACTGTATGAAGTACTCATTTTTTTACTCGTGGAGTCAGAAAGAAAAGGAATTAAATGTTTGAAAGCATTCAGTCTGCAGTTAAATATCCAGGAATTACTTGACAAATCCACCTCAAGTCGAAAGATGTTCAGTTGGATTATCATCTGCGGTAGGACTGTTGTCAGAGCATTTTCACGGAGATCCACGACCTGTGTGGAAGTAATTCATTCAGAATTAATTCGATAAGCCTTAGAATGGAGTCTGAATTGCAATAGCAACAACAGCATTTATTTTAATAAACAAGCATTTGAAAAGAATGAGAACAATACATCTGTTTAATGTTTCAATAATATTGCACTAAGCTTTTTTGATTTAAACAAAAAGGACTGTGGTACATTTAGTAGTCCCTTCATTGTAAATTAATCTGTGTGACTGGGAATCTGCAGGGCTTGCACTGTGGGGTGCCTCCTGCATTGATGTCCCTGGGTGCAGGAGAGCAGCGTCCTCAAGGGATTTTTCAGTTGTGAAGATGTACTGTGCTTCTTCATGACTTTATAGCCTCCTTGGAAATAGCCTCTTCAGCCTTATTTCCTCTGAAACTCACGTGTAATTCTTTCTCAGCTTGGCTCTGGCAAAGTTGATGAGGGCCCATGACAGCATTTTAGGGCTTTGCTTTTCTTTCAGAGTGGAAAGAAAGGGTGTGTGTGTGGGTGCGCGCACACGGGAGGAATGGGGGAAGAAAAGGAGGTATATGTTTATGCCAGTTATAGCAGGGTTTGTGGCATGGTTAAGTGGGTAATTTTGCGGTTATATTTGTATATTTACAAGTGTGTGTTCCTGAATATACAAACAAGTATTTACATATAAATGTTATTTAAGCTATTTGCGTTCATTCATAATTTTATACTCTTATCAAAATCAGACCAATATAATTGTCACTGAATAGTTGATTATTAACAATCTTTACTGGTGATTAGCAGAAAGCATTGAAACAGTTGTAATGTTGCAACCTGTAAGTTGTTGAGACCCTGGAAGGCATCTGGATGAATTGTAGTTATCTTGTTGTTCTGTAGGTAGATGGTTTTCAGCTGTGAGCAGTTCTGAAAGTCATTCTGGTCAATCCGTAGTATGTTGTTGAATGACAGATGGACAGACTGTAAGGATTGCAGCAGTCCTAGCCCTAGGAAGAGCAAAATTATTTTATGTTTTTATATTCTTGTGTTCCCAGGTGTGCCAAGGAGCTTTTAAAACACCTTTGCAAGGAAATCCATTCTGTTACACTCTACTGCAAGTAGTGGCTGCAGGCTTTGGTTTATTGTGCCTTTTCTGTTGAAGAGGTGGCCCAACCTAAAAGTTGTATAGCATCAACGGCAGGCATTTTAATATACACACAATCAAAGCATTTTTAAAAAAAAATTTTTAATTCACATGTCCATAAGAGCAGTAGCATTCCTTCATGCTGTGAAAACCATTTTGACTGATCTCTGTACTTTGAGCACGCTACTCTGGAGAATTTGAGGTGGGGAAGGAGGGGTGTGAAAAGGTAAAATGTACACAGTTTATAAAATACAAGAATGTTAATTGCAAATAAAAGATGGAGATACAAAAGGTGACACAATTTCTCCTGTTCACTGCCAGCTGCATGTTCACACACGTTTCTCATATGGGGAATTACTTGAACCATATTCACAGGACATATGTCTGGCTGAAAACAAAATGCTCGTGCCTGTCTGCCTGTGAATTCAGTGTGTCAGTTATGTTTTACAGCATATCCTAGCTACAACAGCATCTGTCTTGCATAACTAGTTCTTCTGAATGCTAGAGATCCCTTGTTTTTCTTACACACTGCAGGGAGCCCCTAAAGCTGTAGCCTGCAGGTTCCGATGGGAACCTGAATGCTCAGTGTCACCAGAGCTTTGTAACACCTACATGCTGCTCTCAAGTGGTTTCTAGTCATGGAGCATTGCTGAGAAGCTGCTGCTTCTTAAAAATGTTGCCCTTGGTGCTATGTGGTTTATAGGAAATCTGTAATTGCTGTTTGCTGAGTAATGGATCTCCGGGTTTATTGTGAAAAGCAGAGAGAATGATTCATTCCTGCTGTAAAGCTGGAGGTAGCTGATAGGAAAGGCATTCAGAAGTGCTGGCAGTTCCATCAATTACTCCCTGTACCTGGATGAAGAATGGTAGTTCAGATGCAGCCCTGAAGCTGAAGTTATGCCAGAAGTACACAGTGATACAGCACCAGTAGGTAGCAGCCTGATACCTGGAGCATCAGCTGTGAGAAGGGTTTCTTTATGGCCCAAGCCCTCTGCTTTAGGTTTGTGTTTTCTTGCAGAGTCTCCAGTACGAGAGCTTTTGAACCAGAACACAGGTTAAGTGTTTTGGAGAGGGAATATGAAGCTCTGAACATGCATTTAAATGAGCGTGGGATTTAAGTACTGCTTGAAGTGTGGGGGTACGATGCACAACAATTTGACTTCTAAGATCTAAAAATTAAATTTTGACAATCAGCGAAAAAGGCTGATCTATGAAAAGGAGTTCTACTTAGCTGTCAGAACAATCAAATCTGCATTGGTGTATTTTACAGTACAAAGCTTTTATATTTTCCATGTGGGAACCTTACAGACACTGTAAAAAATAAACTGAAAGTTTCCTGTTTGAAAAGAATTACTTAGTGTCAAAAAAAAAAGAAGAACGACAGAACTTGTAGGACCCTGTGCAACTGCAAAATTACTCCCTTCCAGTTTGTTTGATAGGTGTGGTTATTTTGTTTTCTCCTGGTGTTTTCAAAGTCTAAAGCTGATTAATCCGATAGTATCAGGGACTGACTAAATACAGCAAACAGTGTGTAGGATAGCATTACTTGTACTGCAGAGTTCACTTCATTTAAATACTTCTTGGGCAATGTAGATCTTCTGTTTATGAAGATACAGACCGTCATAAAGGCTGCGATGCCTAGCATGCTTCAGTTACTAAGAAACACTTTCTAAAAGGTTAGCAAAGCCTTAAATCCTTCTCTTATTAATGGAAGGTGTCACTTTGGTTGCATAGTAGCAAAATTGCTTTGACTGAACAAAATGTATTTTCCTGTCTTTATGAAATACCGAAATTGGAGCAAGTTTTATTTTAAAGGCTACTGACTTTCTTCTGAAGTGTGGTATGAAATTTTTCTGTAATTTTCTTAAATGTTAAGGTCCATGACTGACTTATGAAGGCTGGTGTTTTTCCAAAGATCCTTACTTCCTGTTTTATACAAACAAGGAAAATTATTCCTGTGCCTCTCGGAGATTTTGCTTATACCTGACTGCCATTAAGTGTTATGATTGCTAAGACTGTATAAAACCAAACAAATCCCAAACAACGCATTTGCTTTAGCCTGTATTTGCATGCAGGTGAAATTTAGCCTCACCTTAAACATAAGTGAAACAATCGTATTCTAAATTCCTTAACAAGTACCATATCATATCCAAAACCAACTTACTCCTTGGAGTGAGATCCTTAAAGATTTTGAGATGCTTACCTCTTGGAACTGCATTGAGATAATTTCTTTCAGCCAACAACACTTTCAAAGCAGGCAGGAAGTGATGGACTTTTCCATACGTTTTAGAAGCATGTGCAGCTGTAGGGATGTCTAGCACAAGGGTGTTGATGGAATTACCGTTGAGGTTTAGAGTTTCTAAAGCAGGTACATTTCTAAAAGCAGTTATGGAGAGTTCAGAAATCAGGTTGTTACTGAGATTCAGATGTTTTAGCATCCAGTCTTCGTTTCTCCCGTTGGCGCACAGTAAAGTTGTGATGTTGTTGTAACTGAAGTCAGCTGTTAGTGCTGTTTGTGATATAGCTTCTGGAATAGCAGATAGTCCAGCAAAAGAGCAATTCACTGAGAACTTCCCGTCCCACCGGCAGTCTGAGTGGTGATGTGCATTAAGAAACTTCTGTGACTTGGTTCCCACCAATCCAGGAATATTAAAGTAAAGGACCACAGCTATGATGCTCAAATGAAGGTTATCCATAGTATCTATATATAAGTTGTGAAATTAGGGTAAGTTCAGCATAACAGGAGTCAAAATAGGAGGCGGAAATACTTGGACGTTAAAAATGTCAACACAGAAGAGACACCCAAACCACTACCACAGTTCTGTCTCAAACATACAGGTTTGGCATGTTAGGTATTTTTCAAAAAGCAAGTTCATATATTGGTAAGCTTCCCCCTCCCACCACCTCTCCCAAAAACCAACCCAAACCTTTTCTTTCTTTTCCAGCCCGTCACGCAAGAAACGCAGCTTCTCAGGTACTCCCCAACTAAACGCAGTAGAGACTTTTGAACTGTAACTTCAGGTATCATACGCAATTACCGCTGAGCAAAGTCCACTAGCTGTATAATCCATGACAAATAGATGTGGAATGATATTCATACTTACAGTTAATAAAACACTAGTTTCACTGTCAATAAAACAACGTCTTTTAATCAGAGACTGTATTATTACAATAACACTTCTAAACCACAGCTGTGTCTTAGAATTTATTGTTTCATTTCAAAACAAAGATCAGAAATCCAATTGTCTTCCACCTATTGAAACAACAACCACCTTTACAAATGCTGAGAATTCATCACATGGAAGTTGTTTCAGTGTAACCAGTATGGTATTTTTACACAGAGTACGTAGAATGTACTTTAAAAACACAGAATCTCAAGTGCATTTGTGGGATTTAAATAAGCAGTGTGCCACACAGTGTTATAAATAAGCATTGAAAAATGTACTTTAGGCAGTTAGAAGATATAAAAAACAAATTACTGCACAACACAGGGCATATATAATGTCAACATTTCTCAAACCGTGTAATGAAGGCAACAAAATACATGAACGCCACATGAATAGTGGCCAGCAAGTCAATAATTTATATCACTTGGTATTTATATGACTGGTTTTGCTACGTTTGACTAAAAATCCACACCTCAAAATCAATTCTTCAGACCACGATTTAAAAGTACCTTTGTGATGCATTGTTCAGCTATGTTGCATACAGTATTTGAATAAGAATTCTTAATAATTACAGGTCAAGAATCCCATCCTAGCATGTAGGCATGTCAGTATTAACCAAAGAAGAGCTATAACGTGCTGCTCACGTGTATTCTACTTGACTGAGGAAGTGTCTGTTATTGACCAAATTCTAGTTTGGCTTTGGAGGATGCTGCTGCTTATATTTATGTATACATGAATATGTGTATGTCAGTATGAATTAATGTCAGACATGTATGTTAGTGTTTACATGTGTATGTATAATATGAATATAAGCAGCATTATACAATGTACATAAATATATATTTGCATATAGATGTAAGTAAAGTGACAAACTGCCATTGTCAACTGAGTGGAAGTTCTGAAAAAGTAACCATTTTATTTCCTTCTCCTAATTTAAACATCCTGATTGGGACACTACTTAGAGCAGCAAAGGTTTTTAAAAATCTTTTCTGAAATGACTGATAAATATTAACTGCAGTGAAACCATTAAGGTCGTGAAGGCAGTATGCAAAACGTACCTTAGTACTCTCCCATAATCTTTAATGTGTGTAATTCAATGGCTTTTGCTGCATTTTACCCCATTTTTGTTAGACAGCTCTACTGCTGCCCACCCCCCAAAACCCCAGCTACATAGCATCAAAATTTGGTTTTGCCTTTAACCAGTGAGGGAAACGTGACTCCTCTGACCTCCAGAGCAGCCTAAAGCCTGACCTAAAGGCTCCCCTCCAAAAATCACTGCCCCCCATACACATCCTGCACCAGGACTTACTGACTTGCAGTAAATGCAGGAACTGGGACCTTAGACAGGAACTTCTTTGCAGCAGAAGCTGACTCGTCTGCGGAGTTTGCATACTCTAAGAGCTATAAAACAAGGGTAGGTAATTTTTATTCCCATAACAAATGACCAATTCTGAAGTTAATGTATAACATTTGCACAGCTTTTAGGAAGAGAAGTGCATGCTTAGTGCCTAGTGTCAAAAAAGTACTTGCAAAGTCACCTTTGTGGAAGTCACCTTTGTGGCCTTCATTATTAAGGTTATTTGATTATATTGGAAAAAAAAAACAACACACAAAAATCCCAAACTATTTCAAACTGAAGAAAATACATGGGGGAAGGAGGAATCTTACAATGAGCTAGTCTATTTTTAGTACAGACCACAAATTTTGCCTCTACAAAAGCAGTTCTAAGGCAGTAAGAGTTTTTATAAGGCCCCAGCTCAGTTTCACTGTTGACAAGTTCAGATCCACGTGTATTTACTCTGCTGTAGTGGTATCCAGTACCATCACGTTTAGAATTGCAGACCTGCAGTTTAGCTTCAGAATTGAATTATCAGGTGTTCAGTAATGCATCAGGAGTGACATTCACAGGAAAAAAAGAGACCTTAGACACTGCAGCATCTTAGATGAGGCTGCTTGCAGTCGTGCTTCGGATTATTAGCTGTTGAGTAATAGATTCGTACACCGTTCCCATTAAAGCACCCAGGAAGACACTTTTTTGGGCACCAAGCAAATTATCAGTACATCTTTGAGAACGTACCTTATAATAAGCACATTTTATAAATACTTCTCATAAATTAAGTGTAGAATCCCTCAATTCCACAGACAGAAGGGGAGCTCAAGCAACGCTTTGGTAATTGCAACTTTCACTTTTACCAGCTACACTATTTCAAAACTGAAGTTACATTTCCATGCTCCATGTTACTTTGCAAATATTATTTGTGCTAGCTTATTTTTTTAACAATGTGACCATAGATGACAGACTTACTGCAATATTATAATGTACCATTAGCCAATCTGCCACTAGCTTTCTTTTAGTACACGTACAATAATCCACATAATTTTTTGGGGGGGATCATTACAGCAATCTTTGGCAGTAAATGCTGAGAAGACAAAAATTTGCCACTTCAGCCATCCTGTGGAAAAATGCACATCCAACAGCAAACAGGCACTCCTATTGAAGTACTTCAGATTGCAGTTGTGTTCTCAGCAATCCTCAAGGTTTTGGGATGTAGGCCAAAAACCTCTTCTAGTGGCAACTGAAGCCAGGTGAGGTTGTTGCTAAAATCATGTTCTTTAAATGTATTCTACTGATCCCAATTCAAGAAGGTATTTCAGTGTGCGTGTAAACTGAAAGCTTACTAAAACAGGGCCACTATCATGGCTAGCAGGATGATGACCTAATACTGTTGAACGTGAGTCTGTGCTTAAAAATAGTATGTAATAAACATTAGTATAAACTCCTGTAGAAACAGAAATCCTTGAAGGCATGCAGTTACTTCATACAAATATATGTAAACACATAGAGAACTCTCCTGGTAGTGTTTTGTTTTAGTGCGTGGCTCCACACGGATTGACAGAGGTCTGACAACCCATGTTATGACCTGTCACTTGAACCTTGAACAGCGTTCCATCTGCACACATGCACAGCTTGAAGCGGAGCCAGTTGCCATTGTTAAACTGTTCCCCATAAGAAGAACTTGGCAGTCTCGATGGGCTGACCATCACAGTTCCATTTAGGATAATGCTGTTTTCCTATTAAGAAAGAGGAAAGAAAAGTGTAACTTCTTAGTTAAACAAGGCAGACTGTTTTTTAAAAAGGACAAGCTAGTTTAAGCAATAAATGGGATTTTTAAGATGGCTGTAGAAATCTACACAATAAATAACATATAGAATGTCTCGGGGTTGGAAGAGACCTTAAGTGAATTTAAAAAAAATGTATACGAAATGGGAATCAGTGTTCAAATTTGTACGTGAAATTCATTCACACGTGAAATCAAAGTACATTTTTCCCCTTCCTGAAACTTTTCCATCATTCTGTATGCTGTGTGTCATTAAGAATCTCCAAAAAGCTTAAATGAATGCTGGTGAGCCTTGCTGTGACACTGCAGGAAGGCAGTGCTCCTATTTTTAGTCTCTGCTCCTCTGTCAAAGGTTGCTGTCCACAATAAGGCCTCCAGAATGGAATATATATTCCCTTTGGTATTCATTTCAGTGCAAAGACCAATAGTTTACCTTAATTGCTTTGTGGGTTTTTCACGTCTTACAGAAATAAATCACTGTAACCTAAAAACCACTGAACCACTAATTAAAAGCGAAGTAATAATCCCTTTTAAAATTCTACTACATGTGCTGACCACAACTAAACTTTTATGCCTATTTTATATAAAATTTGAATCCATACAAAGCTACAAGAGTTTACTATCAGCTTGAATTTGAAAGACATTCAAAAAATGCTGTTTTGAAATACTTACTGCTTTAAGTTCCATGTTACCCCCCATTCGAAACTCAATGGTTTTGCCTGTGATGAAAACACCTTCATTTCCACGGACAATAGCACGTCCATCAACCTTTATGTTTAGATCACTGGTTGCATTGCTGGTAATCTGAGAATGTAAATAAATAAAAGTATTAGAGATCAATGAAAATGTACCTTGGGTTTATCTAGGTAATTTTAATTGCCTTAAGAATGTTACTCAACAATCTAATAAAAAAACTTCAATGTATTTTATGTCCCTCTCACGTTATGCCTATGAAGCTTCCTCCCATTTTTTATTTTCTACATTTATGTCTATAAACATGGCTTACTTAATTTTGGAAGGTAAGTAAAATTGTTTGCATATGGTTTGATTGTGATTGAAATGATTTGTATGACAATTTCATGGGATGCGAAATTAACACTGCTAGCAATTGCAGGCTTCCTTGTAAGATGTGATTATGTAAACGTATTCTTCTCTTTTTATTTAATCTATTCCTCTTACATATATAAGGATATAGTTGTTGTTTTTCTCTCCAGTGTTTACTGTTTGTTAGCCTGCAGAGATAACATGAAGAAGATCAAAATGAACTCTCTTTTTTGTTCCTATAACACACAACCCTCTATAAAACCACCAGTACTGCTCCGTTAGTGTTGCAAAATAGAACTGTAGGCACTGCTGTCTAAAAAGCCTTTATTATGAGTGACTTTATGAGTGCAAGAAATTTCAGTCTGACATTAACTGACATTTGACATATATGCCCGCCTACCAGTATGTAGTTTTTTTAGTTCTCTGGTAAATCAAGCATATTTAATGTAGCAACCAAACTAAGAACATGTTTAACCTGGAAGCCATGAACTAACACAACTCTTGTAATGCTGTGATTGTTCTCCACACTTCCACTCAGGCTTTTGGAATTCTGATGTACTAACATTTATCACCAATAGAAGCATGAAGTTCTGGTAGCTACTTCTGGAAGTTCTTGCTAGAAACAACAAAAAAGCTTTTCATAGTGGTTTTATTTCTGGAACAGTTATCCATGTATAAGGAAGTGCATAAATGCTTGATAAAAAGTCACACAAGTTTTCTAATCCTGATAATGGAGCTAGTATGGTATTCCAAATGTCATACTCATTTAATAATGTCAGTTTTCATTCCTAATTTTTAGCATCAGTTACGTTTTCAGAGCTGCATTTCTAGTCAAATTTGTAAATATGCTTGAAAGTAGTATTTTTTTCCTTGTTCTACAACTAGAGCAATTCAGTAATTACCTTTTAGGAAGAGTTTTAAAAGTTCAAAATGACATACCCTCTCCGTAGACGCCTTTTGCACGTTCAAGATTTTAACTCCATTTGGCAGATGAAACTCATGAGTTTCATAGTCTGTGCTGAACAGGGTGTTTTGTGTCCGGGGGTCAACAAATTCCATGCCAATATCACTGGTAATGGAAGTTTTGTCTTTTTCCACACTAAGCTTGGTTGTTCCTTGCTGAAATACAATCTGCAGAAACAGTATTTTATGTTAACAGTGTTTCACATTTAATGTTTATAAATAATGCAAGTGAAGTTCCATAGTGTTGCTCACACACTTTCAATTCATGATATAACTTACAGGCTGATTATTTCCAGTGATCACCAAATCTTCATTACGTCTGCCTCCTACAGTGCTTTTATATAAGGGATGTATAACACCCATGTCAGAAACTTGCTTAAACCGCAGTAAGCCACTCTCATGGAACTCCATACTGTCACAGCCATTGGGGCCAATTCGAATCACAGCCCAGATAACAAGTGTAATCTGAAAGAGAAACACACATTTTCAAAGATTTCTTTTATTGCTTGGATAGTCCCACAAAAATTATTGTATGAATTAGTTGTTTTATTTGAAGTAATTATTAATGCTAGCATTTAAGTGAGCTTTTGGTGTGAATTACTTTAGTGTGTGCAATTCCTGCTGGAAATGTCGGAATACCTGTAACTATTAAAAGCATTTTCCATGATTTCTAGACTCATCTGAAAGGGTAACTAAAATATTCATCTATATTTATATAATTGAAATTAAATCATGTCCTTAATTAATATTTTTCCGATTTAAGGGTAGCCATGGTTCAGGGAAACAAATTCCCTGAACAAAATATCTCAGTTTAGAATATACTTTTGAACTACAAGAAAGCACCTTCTGATGTGCATGTCTCATTACAGAAAAAAACAAACAAACAAACAAACAAAAAACATTGCTTTTCTCTGACCAAGCAATAAAAAGGTGGTAGTTACAGCAATGGATGTTTAAAGTGCAGTGGCTGATTAATTCTGAATGCTCATGTGCTGCTCAGTTATTACACATACAATATTCCTGGCTTACCAGATTATCCCAAATGCATTTCTACTGCACTAATAACACTTTGCATATCCTTCTCCTCTGTTTGATAAATTGGAGGTTCCTCATGGGACCACAATACTGAAGTAATGATGACTAAAATGGTAAGATTCTTCTGTCTAATCCTGCTCAGACTACAAAGGAGCACAAAGGAGAGGAAAAAAGGAGAAATCTCCTTCAGCCATAGTGGAATAGCTTTTCTTTCTCTAATAGACATCTTAACATTGCTTACAGCCCAAGCATTATACTCACAATCAAATTGATGACAGCCAAAATAAAAAGAAGAACAATCACACAAATGGCCAAGTTGCCTTTCCTGCCACGTAAGCCTGTCTTATGGAGACGGTCTTCATCAATTGGAATGTATCCAGCTTTAAAGTTACTGTTGTGCTCCTTGTTAACATTCCTTCGCTCTACAGCCTTCTCACGCATAGATTTCTTCACTGGCCCATTGGAACTTTGCTGTAATACAAAGCATGGGTTAGCTGTTGTAAGGCATGTAAATCCACCAAAACAATATGCAAAAAAGACAAAATGGATTAGTGGAACATGTTATATCCAGAATCATGTTATACTGCAGTCTGCTGCTAGGTACTTAACACTTTACAACCACTGCAATCTCTTCTAATGCAAAGACCAAAATGAAAATCCATGTATTTATAGACAATTTGTAAATTGTTTTTATATCTCATTTTTATCATGACAGTTAGGAATTACAACTCTGCTGCAGTACAAAAAAATTAGCTGTAATGAACTTCATCGGGCTTCTACCTCTTGGGGATGATATGGAGTATGATCCTGCAGGTCATGTACTAATGAACAGGATTTTAGTTCTCCCCACACTAATGCAGGAGAGTCTTAGGGAGTCTATCAGAACATGCAGGAAGAAGTGTGGTGGAGACAGCTTTCAGGTTGCTGTGACAGTACGAGGTTTGCATTCAACTTCTATGACTTGTATGCAGCATTACAAAAAATACTGCAAAGCTTCAAAGCTGGCATGGGGAACTTGACTGGCCTAGCGTAAACTTACTCCTTTGAAGTGCTTAGACTGCAAAGTATATCCCCACAATTTGACAAATTAGTATATAAGGGAAACTGTTGTAGATATTGATTGTGAAAGAAAGAAACCTTGATGTATTTCTATAACTTTATACAGTATTTTGTTCCACCTCTCCTGAATGCAGCAGGTTGCAACAGAAGGGTCCAGTTGAAAGAAGGAGCTTGATCTTTTTGATGATATTAGGTTTGTTCACCCGAAACTAATCCTGAAGCTGCACAAATTTAGCTTTCACTGAAGCATGCAAACTCCAATGCAGAGGCCGAGACCGAATTAGAGCTGATGTCTTATTTATACATCGCCACCGCGCTCCCATACTCGCACACCCTCGTCCGATGACTCACGCACCCGCTCTATTTATACTGACCGAGCAACTCACGGCTTGGGGTCACAAACTAGCGGCTGACACCTCCTCGCACAGAGCCGCTACGCTCATGTGGAGCAATGCCACAACGCCTCGCTTCGACAAGGGACAACATTTTTTCCCTTTGGGCGGAACGGGACACGGGCGGGACGCACCACCCGCTCCTGTTCAGGCGCTGCCCAAGCCTCGCCCCTCCTTCCCCCAGGGCACCGTCCCTCGTCACGTCCACGCCAAAAACTCAAGATATTTTTTGGGGGGAGAAGACGTTTATTTGGCGCCGCGCCCAGCACCAAATGGCAGCGAAAATGGCGGCCCCGCCCGCGGCCCCCTCACCCGGCGCGGCCCCTGCCCGCGGGGACAGACCTGCTCTGAGGCGGCCGCCGCCATCTTCCTCCGCAGCCGCTGCGGCTGCCCTGGGCTCCCCCTGCCGGAGGGAGGCGAGGAGGAAGGGAGGGAGGGAGGGGGGCGGCGAGCCCGGCTCCGAGACCCCGCTTGGCTCCGTCAGGGGAGGTGCCTGGGCAGCTCCCTACCGCCCCGCCATGGCCCCGGGAGGGGTCCGGAGCCGGGCTGCTGGGTGCCCCCGCTCCGAGGTGAAGCACTCGGGGAGCAGATTGTGGTCACTGGAATAAAAAGAAAGGCAAAAGGCGACTCTGTGCATTTAGCCCAAATAACTCTTTATTATTATTATTATTGTTTTCCACCTTGGGAAATGCCATTTTAGAACGCAGCCTGGGGAAACGCCACGAAACGCTGCCTCCTGCGCCTCCTCCTCCTCCTCCTCCTCCTCCTCCTCCTCCTCCTCAGCCGCAGGGCAGCGCTGCCCCGAGCCCTGTGCCGTGCCGGGCCGTGCCGTGTCCCCGGGCTGCCGCCCCGTTACCACAACGGAGGCGCGCCCTGCCCTCGTCGCCGTGGCAGCCGGGCCGAGCCCCACGTTACAATCGCGGCTATAAAGGCGGCGGGGCCGCGACCCCGCCCGCAGCGGCGAGCCCGGGGCCGGGCCGGCACAACCAGCGCCCCCCGTGCCGCCCGCCGGGGGCTCCCGGGGGGGGGGGACAGGACGGGACGGGGCAAACCGAGCAGCCCGGCCCGAGCCCGGCCCCAGCCCTCGGGCGAGCTGCCGGCCAGCCATGGCCGACAGCTTGAGGAGGCTGGTGAGCGCCGAGAGCTGCCGGCTGCTGCAGGAGAAGCTGGAGAACTGGTACCGGGACTACGAGGTGGGGGCAGCCGCCGTCCCCTCTCCCCGCCCGGCCGCCTCTCCCCGGTTCCCCGGTGCCCCTGCTGGGATGGACTGGGAGAGGGAATGGCCTCAAGTTGCGCCAGGGGAGGCTCAGGTTGTAAATGAGGAGGTGTTTCTGCTCAGAAAGAGCTGTCAGGCACTGGGACGGGTTGCCCAGGGAGGTGGTGGAGTCACCATCCCTGGGGGTGTTCAAGGAAAGGCTGGACGTGGTGCTGAGGGATGTGGTTCAGTGGGTGGCATTGGTGGTAGTTTTGGTTGGACCAGGTGATCTTGGAGGGCTTTTCCAACCTTCACAACTCCCTGACTCTGAGATTTCAGGGACAGGGAGGAAGGCAGCTGCAGGCAGGCGTGACAGGCTGAACAGGGTTACAGGGTAAGAGAACAGGGGACCGAGGAGGTGCCACAATGGAAACAGGAGAAAAGAGTTTAAATTTAGGGGAAGGTGAGGTGAGAAAGGGAACTGAGATTTGAAAATCCTAAATTCTCTCAGCAAAAGCAGTCGGGACAGGATCCTCACTCCTACATCCCCATGTCTCTGATGCCTCAGAGCACTGGCCCTGCTGCAGTCGGTGAATGAGGGCACTGAGCAGAGCTGCAGCCTTCTCAAGTCAGCTCCTCACATGTAGGTGTTACAGTGCCCGGCAGCCTTTCTGCAGGGTGCATGGCAAAGGACAGGACTGAGGAGGAGTCTGAAGGTAGCTGGTAAAGACACCACAGAGTGCAGGGCACTGGAGGAGGGACAACAGAAGCACTTGCATTAGTCTTGCAAAAGGATGGGGTGGCTGATAGTAGCAGGAGCTGAGCTCCCCATGGTAAAGGAAGGTAGGTGAGGGTAGTCCCCGAGGTCATGGGAAGCAAAGAGGAGCAGCTTGAGTCTGCTGTGGTGAGAGGAGCTGGCAGATGGGAGCACTGTGGGTGTCATGTCAGTGTAATGAGCTGGAAAAATGCAATTTGCGGTAGTGCTCTGGTGGATGTTAGCAGGGCGAGACTGCTCCTGGAGGACAGAGGAAAGCACGCCACAGCCATCACAGTGCGGGGTGACTGGGGCATGGGCAAGAACTGTGCCTATTTTCAAAGCTCCTAAAAAGCATATGGAACCATGTGGTGAGTGATCCAAGTTGAAGGTGATACCCAGGCTATGGATAAAGGTCAAGGTGGTGGGTACAAAGTGTGTGTGTGTGTTTGTTTTTGTTTTTTCCCTGGCAGGTGCAGTAGCTTCCTGGACTCCATCACTCTCTTTTAGAATTGTATTTGCTGAAAGTGGTGCAACTTTACTGTTCTGTTGTTTCCTTGGCTTAATGCTGGGGTTTGCCCATTCTCGATTCTTTTTTATTTCACTTGATAACTCTTAAAAATCAAGCAAAATTGCGTGGAGGCCTCATGGCTGTTGATAAAGCAAGATAACAGCTTTATCTGTGTTCTTTCAGCTAATACACAAAGTCATAGTTTGGACTGATGTTTTATTCATCTAATAATCTATCTTGTTATGCTAAATTCTGTGTTGAAAGATTTTAACCCATCTTTATGATCTTTCTTTTAGATTTATTTGTGGTTGCATCTTCTTTATGACTGGGGAAAGGAATACGTTTTCCCCAGTGGTGAATTAACAGGGTGTTAGGAGTTTTGATGTCTTCTCTGTGTGCCTATTAACAACGTGACACTTTTGAAGATGGGTTTTCTAGATGATGCAGTAAGAAAAGGATGAGAAGATATAATTATAGGAAACAAAACCAAAAAGCAACAAACAAAACCCCCCAAAACAACCCTTTAATACTGTGATCATAACTGGAATCATTCTATGCAGGATACCCCATGCAGATATATTAATATGCATTAATTTACAGATTAATACCTGTGATCAGAATCTGAACCGATGCTGTGAAATAATAGAAATGAACTCTGTGATTCAAGGGCAGCTCTTCACAATCCTCAATGAAACGTCTCGAGAAGGTAAATCAGTGCCTTTTCTGTACTAACACATTTCATGTGTCATCTTTTTCAGTTCTGTCTTCCTCTGTAGGTGTTCTCACAATTTCTTAATGCTTGTATTTTCTTAGGTGGGCACTATGCAGGTGTAGAAACAATAAAAACTCGTCTTCTGCCATGGCTAGGAACTTGTTTTTCCTGTGCTGCTTCAGGAGGGCTCTTTGAAAGCGGCCTCTCTTTCATTCAGGTATGCAGGAAATTTATTTTAAGGGAATAGAATGGTGTAAATTTATGCCTGCAGGAGAGCACTAATCACTTTCTGTTAACAATAGCATCCCTCCCTGATTTTGCTTAATGAAATATGTTATTGGTTGCTCATGGTGACAGCTATGTTGTTGTTCTGTCTCATCTTACATCTCCTTTGAATGGGAAATCAAAGAGGTCATTATGGTTACTTCTGGCCCTCCAGAGCTCGTGCTGTTTCATAATAATGAATGGCAATATGGATGAATCTTCGTGGTAAGAGAAGTAATGTTTTTGTACAGCTTTCCTTTTCTAGGCAAAGAATTTGGCTACGCTTACACTTGCAAAGATGTTATAGTAGCATTTACACCATTCATAGAATCATAGAATATCCTGAGTTGGAAGGGACCCTTAAGGATCATCAAGTCCAACTCTTGACACCGCACAGGTCTACCCAAAAGTTCAGACCATGTGACTAAGTGCACAGTCCAATCTCTTCTTAAATTCAGACAGGCTCGGTGCAGTGACCACTTCCCTGGGGAGCCTGTTCCAGTGTGCAACCACTCTCTCTGTGAAGAACTTCCTCCTGATGTCAAGCCTAAATTTCCCCTGCCTCAGCTTAACCCCATTCCCGCGGGTCCTGTCACTGGTGTTAATGGAGAAAAGGTCTCCTGCCTCTCGACACCCCCTTACGAGGAAGTTGTAGACTGCGATGAGGTCTCCCCTCAGCCTCCTCTTCTCCAGGCTGAACAGGCCCAGTGCCCTCAGCTGTTCCTTGTACGTCTTCCCCTACAGGCCTTTCACCATCTTCGTAGCCCTCCTCTGGACACTCTCCAACAGTTTCATGTCCTTTTTATACTGTGGTGCCCAGAACTGCACACAGTACTCGAGGTGAGGCCGCACCAGCGCAGAGTAGAGCGGGACAATCACCTCCCTCGACCTACTAGCGATGCCGTGCTTGATGCACCCCAGGACACGGTTGGCCCTCCTGGCTGCCAGGGCACACTGCTGGCTCATATTCAACTTGCTGTCTACCACGACCCCCAGATCCCTCTCTTCTAGGCTGCCCTCCAGCGTCTCATCGCCCAGCCTGTACGTGCAGCCAGGGTTTCCCCGTCCCAGGTGCAGGACCCGGCACTTGTTCTTATTGAACTTCATGCGGTTGGTGATCGCCCAGCTCTCCAACCTATCCAGATCCCTCTGCAAGGCCTTTCCAGCCTCAACAGAGTCCACAACTCCTCCAAGTTTGGTGTCATCAGCAAACTTGCTCAAAATACCTTCTATTCCTACATCCAGATCGTTTATAAAAATATTGAAAAGTACCGGCCATAAAATGGAGCCTTGAGGGACCCCACTGGTGACTGCCCGCCAGCCTGACGCAGCCCCATTCACCATAACCCTTTGGGCCCTGCCCGTTAGCCAATTGCTCACCCATCGTATGATGTTTTTATTTAGCTGTATGGTGGACATTTTGTCCAGTAGGATCCTATGGGAAACCGTGTCAAAAGCCTTGCTGAAGTCCAAAAAAATCACATCAGCTGGTTTCCCTTGGTCCACCATATATCTGTTGGTAAAAACTTAACAGTATGTGAAAATCCAGATGTAAGCTGCAGGTGTGTATAAAACCCCATGCTTTCATCTGTGAGCTCCTATTATTATTATTATTATTATTTTAGAAAAATATTTTCTGAGTATCCAAGCATTATAATAATCTCTAGAAGGGAAAAAGAAAGTGCTCATATCCATCATGATACCACCACATGCCTGACTTGAGATCTGGAGTTGGTATGTACTTAGTATTTACTAAAAGGGTCATATTACTAGCACTTTGGAGGAGAAGACAGATCTGCTGCTGCTCCATGCTTGTGTGCTTTGAAAGAAAATAAGAGTGTAGGCTGATGTAGACAAGGGGAAAATGTTGAAGATCTTGGGATCTGGCAGTGATGTTACCATGCTCTCCAACTTCTCATTTTTAGACCTCTTCTATCAAAGTCTTTCACAAGTAAGATAAAGACAAATGAAAAGTAATATCCCTTAGTGGATCCCGCATATTCTAGTGTGCTGCAGGAGTAGGGGTCTGACAAAAAGCAAAATGTAAAATTATGGTGTTATTAAATGACTACGTACCTGTTATGGGTTTGTCATTGGACATGACGTTCAAAATACAAAGAAAAGCCTGCTGCACAGCTGCCTATTTGAATCTGGTAGTATGAGTCAAATCTGTAGGGTGTTAAAGGCATGGCTGCATGTACAGCAATGTGCTTCTTGAAGTACAGTGGCTGCCTGATTTGTTCTAGTAACGTTTTCTGTTATCCTGTGTACAGGAATGCCCCAAAACTTCACTTGAGTTGATGGTATGGTCTGTCAGAACACTTTATCAAGAAAAAAATGTTATGTGTGCAAGAACACTATGTCCAGATGATATGTACACAGGTAGTAAATATGCATATGCAGACCTTCTGTGGTCTCTATTATGAGGTGTAAGCAAAGTGAATATTTTTCCTAATACAATTAAGTCTTTGTTTTGTGCACCTTGGAGTTACTGCTTTTGTTTTCAATTACCTTTGAAATGATCCTTACAGAAATGTTTAGAAAGGTGTATGCTAATAATGCTACACTACGTTGTTGAAGGATTCTGTAACGTAGAATGGTCAAGCAGTGCCATTTTGTGTTTCATTTCAGGATTCAGTTGAGAAAGAGAGGCAGCTGAGACAACTGGCCACCAGTCAGACTTTTCAGCTGCAAGAACTTCAGGAAGAACTCACTTCAACGCGCCTAGAGCTCGACCATGTGCAACAAGAGTAGGGAAATTAACTGCAATTCTTTTTTTCTTTTCAATATTTTTTCTCTTGACATCTAAATACTGATAGAGACTTGTACAGTGTTTTCTTTCAGGCTTAAAATCGGTGCTTCAAAATATGTCTAGGCTCTGGGTTGTCTGTGTTTGCCCAAAGTAGGGTACAGATGATAAAATCAGACTTGCTTTCATCAATTGACTCGGTAGGTTTTGCTTCTGGCAGAAGAGTTGGGAAACAGAACAGTGGTCCAGACAAAAGGACTGATTGTCCCAATTGGATTATAGTTGACAAACTGTTGTATGCTGAGCAAACATTGATAAAACTCAATTGAGTAGGTATAGTGCAACCATTATTGAAGGACCATGCCATAATTAGTTACGGTATGTAATTGCATGTAAATATTTAATAAGATCAAAACTAAGATGGAGGAAGAATGAGCTTTTATGTAAGTCACTAGGACTGAACAGTTGTCATCCAGTTGCATGAAACACTTGGTGGAGCACTGTAGTCTCAGAGTGATTCATCTGCTTCAGAAACAAATTGGTCCAGTTAGTGCCACCTCCAAGGACATTTCAGAGGTGGCTCCATGTGACAGACATGTTCTCATGCATTCTGCTAGCACAAGAACAATGAATGCTCACAGGCCTTTGTGATACAAAAAGTGATATAAAATAACGTATTTATTAAATGGTTCCAAGAATATCAGGTTCTCAAGACTGCAAGCTGCACAAGCTGGATTTGAGGAAAGAGATTCAATAGAAAGAATACTTCATTCTGTATCCTAATCTTGCAGATATCTCCTGCTTTCATGTTAGTATTTGTTATGCCTCATCGTGTATAAATGCAGACATTTTGATTCTTGACTGTGAAAGAAATCTCTCAGTACCCCGTTTATGAACAGTGAAGTCATTCTGAGTGCTATAAATTGTTGAAATAGATGGAGCAACTGGAATAGAGCCTTAATGAAAAATAAACAGTTGTAGCAAAATAATTCTGTTATTGCTTAGTCAAATATGACCCTTACACACTGCTTGTGTGCTGACAGCCTGCACAAAGCCCACTGTGATGGTTTTTGTATGTTACATTGATACAGACTTGGTCTGCTGACATAGTTGATTTGTCACATTAAATTCTCTGGTGGAATCTCTGCCCTTACCATGAAGGTTATTAATGTTTCTTGCAGCCTGGCACAAACCCAGTTGGCTCTTGAAGACAAAGACCAAATCAGCCACTACTCTTACAGCAGCAGAAGACTGAAATTATTCAGCTAAGAGCAGCATAAGAAAAATCTTAATTTTAGAGTATTTGTGACAGACGTCAGCATGCAGTGGTAGTCTGTCATCTACCTGAGTGAATTCTGTTTATTTTACACTGTCCTAAGCTACAGAGGAAAAACAGGTCTAGCTTCTGGACATGTTTTTTTTTTTCTTGTTTTTTTTTTTTTTTTCCTTTGCATTATAGGAAGAATTAACATAAATTAATAAATGTGAGAAGAACCCTTATTCTTGCTGAACTTGTACCCTTTTCTCTCTAGGCTAGAGAAAAGGTTACTTTGAAATGAGCAGCTATCAAGTATTTGAGTCTTGTAGATGAAATTAATAGGAGAGATCCAGGTTCTGAATGCAGCAAGTTGCAAACAAAGGTTTCTGTCTATGATGCTCTTGGAAGCAGCACATGTGTTAGAGAGAATGAAATGTCTTTTGTCCATCTTAAGATAAGGTTCTTTAAAAGGTTTTTTCTTTCAGATTGTGCTTTCCAAATCCTTTTGCCTCTCTGCACAGAAATAGACATGGATATTAGTACTGTTACTGTCTCTGTTTTAAAAATGTTTTTTGAGTTTCTAAGTGTTTTGGTCACATCTGGGGAGTTAATCTGGATCAGTAATAGTGCATGTGGGGGACCTACCTTTTCACTTCAATACAGTAATCTTTAATTTTCTTTTGTGGCTTGATCTATAGGAACTTCTGGAAGCAGTAATAATTCTTCACGCTCATGAAATGTAGCCTCGATTTTTTTATTTTTGGTTATAGTATCAGAAAACAACATGAAGTTAGTAGAAATTCTTCCAACAGCATGTGAATTCTTGTGATAATTGACACTTCAAGAAAAGAAATACTTGTTTATAAAAAATGCTTGAAGCCTTGTAGTTAAATAATGTTAATGCACTTCAGAATGAAGGAGACCTGGCTTGGATCTTTCCCTTTAGGAAGGTATAACTGCCTATGAGTTTCCTTCATTTTAGGGCAATTAAGGGGATGAGCTAATCCCAGTAAAGATGAACAAAGAAAAATCCTTCAGGTCATTATAGTCTCAACTTCTATATGAAGTTGAATATCACTTTTTCATCTATAATTGCTTCTAGAATAATGCTAATTGTCAGATTTCATCTGTGGAACCTCTGCCAGGAAAGCCATTGCTTCAGACTTTAGTTTTTTTGAGTGGATACATGGGGCATAAACTTGTATTTCCATAAAATGGCCTTTTTTGATTTGTTGGTTGAAAAGTAGCTCATATAACTCCTTGATTCTTGGATGTAACCTGACTACTGTCTTCCAGATTAAAGCAATCAGCTGAGAACAAAGCCCCTCGCAGTTTCCATGAATGGGTCTTAATGCAGACTGCATGGAATTGTGGAATCACAGAATGGCTCAGGGTGGAAGGGGCCTTAAAGATCCTCTGGTTCCAACCCCCTGCCATGGGCAGGGATGCCACCCACTAGATCAGGTAGCCCAGGGCCTCGTCCAGCCTGACCTTGAACCCTGCCAGGGATGGGACATCCACAGCTCCTCTGGGCAACCTGTGCCAGGGCCTCACCACCCTCTGAGTGAAGAATTTCCTCCTAACCTCTGATCTAAATCTCCTAGTTTAAACTAAACTCTTAAATCTAATCTAAACTCTTTTAGTTTAAAACCATTTATTGTTATTCTTTCATCATCTGGTTGAGTAAAATGTTGCTCTCCATCTTTTTATAAGTCCCATTTTAAGTACTGAAAAGCGGCAATGAGCTCTTCCTGAAATCTTCTTTTCTTCAGGCTGAACAGCCCCAGCTCTCTCAGCCTTTTTTTGTAGGAGAGGTGCTCCAGCCCTCTGATCATCTTTGTGGCCTTCCTGTGGAACCTGTTCCTAACATTAAGTAAATGATAGAAAATAAACTTGCTTAGCTGGTTCTCTGCAGATGTTTGAGAAACATTTTTTATATGGGGAGGAACAAGAGAGGAATCATTAGCTTCTGATATTGGTGAAGAACACAATTACTGACATCCTCTGACTGGATATTCTATCAAGGAAAAGAACCTGAGGACCTGAGGTAAAACCAAGTCAGCTCAGTTTTCTGTCCTACATTTCTGACTCTCAACGATGTTAAATATGAGAAACAAACAAGTCTTTCTCAGGCCTGATCATATGGGCTAGTGCATGGACACCAGAAGTTAGTGATCTTTCCTGTAACACAATTTGGTGTATCCAGCCTCTTGCTACAGTGCACCTTTACTCTTTAAAGTGTAGTTATGAGTATGCTTTGGAGTTTTTAACACTTAATTTCACAGTATTTCAGCATAAGGAGTCTGGCTTGGTCAATACTTCTCCTGTTTTTCTCTTCTTATTTGTTAAGGATTAATTGATAGCTGGTTTGCATTGGTAGAAGGACATCTTGTGACTAACTTTATTCCATGTGGTTAAGTCTGAAGGATTCCCGTGTCCGAGAGGAGGACTCTCTGAGGAGGTTAGATCCTTGGAATGATTATGAGCAGCAGATTCAGATGCTGCGGGATGAGATTTCTATCCTGGATGCCAAAAAGTCTGTTCTCCAGAGCAGGTAGGGCCTTATTCGGAGAAGTAACTGGATTGGAGAAATTGTTCAAGTTAGGCAGCATGAATTCTCTCCTCATTTTAAATTGAAGCATGAAGAAAAGTTAAACTTCTGTACTTTGTTGTAAAGGATTGTAAACACTTCAACTGATTTATCCTAGTGCCCAGTATTTTAAATTTGAACAGTAATGTTGAGCTTACAGCAAAGAAAGCAGCTTTACAAAATAGACAGAGCAACTGTACAGGAACAGGCGGCTAGTTTTTGTTTATAAGTCCTCTGTGCATACTGTACCCTTATGGGGCAGAAATTATTATTATATTCTCATTTCTTGGACTTTACAGCTCTTCAGTGGTACTGGAAGACAAACAAACCTCTCAAGTTTTAATAGTTAAAAGTGTGTTTCTGCAGAACACAGTGCACGGCTACATACAGTTTTGGAGTCAGTTGAATTTTATCATTCCAGATGTATCCTATAAGATGTACTGACACAAGTTCCTTCATGCTAAGCTAATAATCTGCAGCTTTACGTCTCTATCTTGTCTTACCCACCTCTCTCTTTACACACCTCTCCTAGACTTGTGCGGAGCCGCTCTCCTTCCCCAAGACGCAGCAGGTCACCCAGCCCGCTCCCCCTGAGGAGCTGCTCACCTGGCCGAGCCAGGCGGACAAATGCTTCCCGTCACGCCTGCCTGGTGGCTCGCTTCGGTGACATCTATGCTAATGAACGCCTGGATGCAGAGACCCTTCTGAGGACATACATCACCGACAAAGAGATGGTGCAGAGGATAATATACACTGCAGCTGTGGTAGGGGCAAAATTGTTTCTTGTTTCACAGAAGAGTTTTGTAAAATACTGTGACTAGATTAGATTAAGACATAGGAAGACTCTGAATGGCTTTCAAAAGTAGATGGTTCCTGCACTAAAAAGCACTGCTGCTTTTAAATTAATATTTTTGGAAAGACTTCCATATCATGCTCTCCTCTTACCTGCAGCTATGTGTTTTTCTGTTTTGCTGGGTTCCTTGAAATTACTTATATCCCTCACACTTACTACAAACTCAGCCTGAATAAATTTGTTTGCAAATTTTCTTGTCTATAAAATCAGTGTATCAGAGAGGCAGTGACCCTTTTAATGTATATGATCCCAAGCATGTTTAACTTAGTGCATTTTTTTTCCACATCTTCCAGTCACTTTACACCCTCTGAACCAATGTTTATTCCCAACAGATGAGAGGTACTGTCTGACATGTTTGGCTGTGGCACATAAAATGCAAATATTAAATTCTGTTCTTGACGTCTCCAAATGTAATTCCAATGATTCTGTGTGTGTATGTGAGGGAGTCCTTTATAGAAATAGCTTAGGTGGGAAGCTTCTTACCCCTGTCTTCAGAAAAATAACTCACACTTGGTTTAAACAGAAGTCCTCCTAAATGGAGGACTATTTTTTAACTTTCACTTCTACAGCAGTGTTTTATCTTCCTCCTTAAAGCTATGATATTGGTCTAAACTCATTGTTTCAGATTGTTGCTAAATATCTAACCTCACAATCTCCTGGATTAAACTAGATGTTTTGTACATTTCCAGGAGTCTTTCCAAACAGCGAAGATGGCCTACAGGCAATTCAAAATACGTGTAAGAAAGACTCTTTCTTTAGGTCACACAGAGCTTGAGTCACTTGAAGACACTGTCCTGGATTATATTGTTCGCCACGAGGATCTGTACGATGTTCAAGCCAGTGTCAATGTAAGTTAGCGTGGTGGGGAAGGGATGTGTTATTCTATTTCAGGAGCTAACTTCAGAGGAGCTAACTAGAAATTAACCATAGTCTGGAGTAGGAAGAGAAGTGTATTGCATGGATTTTGTCTTGTAGCAATTTATTTTCCAAAATAATATTGCAGCACGGCCTTATCACTTGTTTTATTTGCCTCTAACTATGTCTGTTTCTGTCAGAATAATTTTGTTGACAAGATACAGTGTAACTGTATTAATCAAGTAAATATAAGGTAAATTTTAGTGTTTCTTAAATTTTACATTGTGCTGAAAAACTGTATCTCCTTCTTAAGATTGATGTCAATGATGTAGCTCACACTACTTCTAAAACAACAGCACATTCTTTCTGATGCTAATGCTTTCTTGAATAGCCTAAGATAACATTTCTGGGTGTCTTTTATACTGATTTTTAAGTGTGTCAAAGCTGAGAGGCACATTTAGGAGGGGTTTCCGCACTTCCTCATGAACAAAAATGTTAGTGAGTTCAGATTATTTCAATTGTGTTTATTTTCAGGAAGTAATTCGCTCCATGAACATGAACCCAAAGATTTCATTCCCACCAGAAGTCGATTTCATTGTGATCAGCAGTTTGATTCGAGAGCTCTGCCGTGTGGCTTTTTCAATGCAGACCCTCACCCCTCCTCTTGATATTGCCTTTGGCATAGATGGCGAACTTTTCAGTGAGACCAAGTAAGAATTCTTTATTTTCTTTAAAAGACAAAGACGGAAAAAAATCCACCAGGTTGTATAATCTACTTCTTTCCTAATTAATGTGAAGATTTAAGATTGATGAACATTAATTTGGGGCAAATATTCCTGGTCTCCTTTCTATTTGGTATGTCTTTAAGGTTTATAATGGTATATAAATGCCAGGATGTAGACCAGTGTTAATAGCTTGTTTAATGAATAGCAGAACAATTTTCTGGATAAACTTGTCTCTTTGAGTTTATTTCATTTATCGTTTAAGAGGAAAATTATCATATTTCCTTTCCTGCTTAGTCTCTGTCTGCCTTCTCTGTTTATAAAAGTGCTTGCATCTTTGCTCTGTCATTTTGGCCCATTTGGTAAAAGTCATTTCTACTGAGGTCTGGCTGTAAGTGCCTGATCATCAACATGTGCTGTGGCTGCTGCATGACGTACGGATCTTAATACACTCCTGTCTCTTCTGTTTTGAAGTTGAGCAAAAAGGAAAATGCCTTTTAGAAACATGATTCTTGTTTAAAGAAACAATAACATAGTTTTTCTTTTTTACCATGGGGTTAGGACTGGCTGCTTTGTTAGCTGACAGAACTGTAGGGTACTCCCAGGCCTTCAAGAAATCTAATGGGATTGATAGCTCCAAAAAACACTGCTCCTGAAAGCAAGAGATGCCACAGAAATGAGGAGGTTTCTAATAATAATTTAAAATAGAATGGATCCCATATAGGAAAGAGCTTGAGAAACCAATGAGAGAAGTAGGGAAGGTAAAAGTAGCCCTTCAACAGAGTACAAAGTTGTTAACTAGTTAATGGTCCTGTCCAAATATTGGGCAGTTAGCTATTTGATACCCAAAGCAACTTGTTGAATTAAGAAGGTAGCAATGCTAGAGTATTGTCTCAGGATACTTTTGCCACCTACTTGATGTGTATGGCCTTCAAAAAAATGGGTGTACATGTTTATATGTGCTGTTGTGGGAGGTGTGTGTGTGTGCATACACACATATGTATATCTAACTGTCTGTATGGATGTATATGTGGCATAAATATATCTACATGTATATAATATGTGTCCTACACTTATATGAAGCAAAACTTGTGGAAATTGAAATAGCTGCATTAGTCAGGTGCGATGCCATTCTATAGAAGGGCTGGCCAACCCCCATTTTACCTTATACCTTCCTCCAGCCGAGTTTCATGCCTGTTTATGACATTGTTCTTAGGAATTACTATTCTATGTACATTACTAATGTATATATGCATTGCTACTTTCTGTTTCAGTTATCACAGAATCACAGAATCTCTAGGTTGGAAGAGACCTCTAGATCATCGAGTCCAACCTCTAACCTAACACTAACAGTCCCCACTAAACCATATCCCTAAGCTCTACATCTAAATGTCTTTTAAAGACTTCCAGGGATGGTGACTCCACCACCTCCCTGGGCAGCCCGTTCCAGTGCCTCACAACCCTTTCAGTAAAGAAATTCTTCCTAACATCTAACCTAAAACTCCCCTGGCGCAACTTTAGCCCATTCCCCCTCGTCCTGTCACCAGGCACATGGGAGAACAGGCCAACCCCCACCAATTATCTGGTAATTGTTTTGAATTTGAATTCACCAAACCATATATGTATTATTCATCCAATTTTGTAGACTTGGGGGGTAAAGGGGGTAATATATCTGCTGCATTACTACAGCCTTTCCAAATCATTTTTGGAAAAGTCAATATTTTGTTTTCAGTAGCTGAAGATCTTGCTAATAATATTGCCTCTCATGTCACATAATCTTGGCCATAAAGTTACATCTTAGTATCTTGGGCATTTCTGTAATGTCCTTTATATGGATCTTGTTTTCACAAGAAATTTCAGGAAGATAGGGTGACTGACTGCCAAAACGCTGCTCAGGAGATTCAGTCAGTGGTCCTCAGACCTTGACTTTTGTGGGGGATATGCAAGAATATCATAGCCTATCAGCCAGCTGAAGTGGGAGAAGGTTTTATTGAGGTGACTGTATAAATAGAAAATATGTTCTGTTAAGTCACTCTTACAAATGCATTTTTTCTGTAAGTTCACTTAAAGAAAACTTATTTTTGTGATATGCAAATACTTTCAAGAAAGATTATGAGCTGTACTAATATTCTGCCTTGGTAACTCAAAGACTCGTATTATCTTTAGGCACTTACATGTAGACATGTCTTATACTCTGTTTCTACAGGTACCATCGTAGTTTGGACTCTGATTTCACAGCTGCTTTGGTGGCCTATCACGTATGGCCTGCTCTGATGGAAAATGATGTTGTAATTGTGAAGGGAGAGGCAGTCACCAAAAGAGGAGCTCTGGTATGTACTTTTCCTTAGGAAATGTGTTAAGGATATTCATTAGATTTTAACTCTCTTTTCAAATTTAAAAAGATGAATTCTTGATTATTTTTTATCCCCCTATGTGGCTGGAGTGGTATATATTATGTATTGGTTAGATTTAAAACCTCATCCAGTATTTAGGGTGAATAGTTCCATTTACCTTATTGTGTATTCATCATGCAGTAAAAAGTTCTATGATTGTTGGCAGAGCCTTTTTTTAGGAAGAAAATTCTGTGTTTACTCTGTCCTCACGCCTTGTCTCCAGCATGACATATCTACTTGCAGAGTCTGCCTTTAATAAATACCCTCTCTCAAAAGAGGTTTGCCAATCTCATCTCTTGTAGTGGTCTCGCAGGAGCAGAAGTAGAAGCAGAAGCCGGAGCCGTAGCGTGAGTCCTCTTCTATCTCATGTAAGCCCCAGCTGAATGCTGTTGGTGTAAACAGCATCAGATATTTTAAACTCAGAGAAACTAGGAACTTGCTGAATTTTATGTTGTACCAGTGGAGTTGCACTGATGTAGTAAAGTGTGCAAATCTTCTGAATGTTGATGGGTTCCCAGATGCCTTTCTTGTGTACAGTATTTTGGCACATCTGAATTCCCTTTTCCTTTTGTCTTGCAGTTATCTCGAAGCCGCAGTCCTTCACCACTGAGGAGCGGAAGCCCAAGTACGTGGGCATATTAGTTCAATTAGTTCAAATTGTTCAAACTCACAATTTTCAAATTAAGCCCTTGAAAGACTGAGCAAAGACAAGAAATAGTATGCTGAAGGTCTTTGACTCTATAATGCTTGTCCCTGTCTTGTTTTTAAAATGGTTAGCCCTTTTCTCTGTGTGTGGGAGAGGGCTGAAATTTCTGCGTGGGAAGATGCTTTTCACTCTACTCAGACCACTGTCACATGCTCTGTCTCTGCTGGTTGCCTTTACCATGACCAGGTCTATAGTAATAAGACTTCTCTTCCTCACAAGAGATACAGTTAGCTGCATGCCTGCTGGCTTCATGCCTTTTAAAATCCAAAGAGACAGCTAGAATTGGTGAGGGTGATCTCAAACAGTATGAATGTGTGCACGCTGAAGCCAAGGAAGTTTAGAGACTTAGGAAAAACAGTTGTACTGAAATGTGCATTTTTCTCCAACAGGACATTAAGATAACTGGATAAGTTTCTGTGGTTCTGTACATCTGGATCCATCAAGTTTGCTGGTGCCTTCTCCTCTTCAAGGAATACCTCAAATGTAACAATGTGAACAGCAATTGTCCCTCCAAAAGGAGCGTTACATGTTTTGTGTGTTTTTGTCATTATAGAAGGCTTATTTAGGACTTTAGAAATTAATTCAACACTTCTGATTTAAACAAAACAAATTGCATGCAATACAGGATTGTACTAATTATCAAAGTTTACAGAGCACTGAGGTACCCATGCTGTAATCTTACAGATGGAGATAGAATTATTGCACCTCGAATGGCTTCCCTAGATACCAAATGATACAGTTTGACAGGGTGTTCAATGTAACCTAAATGGTGAATGTTACAGAATGTTGAGGTTAGCTGTTAACTTGAAAACAATTTAATTATCTGGTGCTTGTTTACAGTTTTAGAAAGCAGCAATAAGCTTGTGATGTGCAAGTCTCAGCATTCTTTGAAATATCTCTTAAGTAATTTTTAGTAATCTGAATTTTCTAGCTACAATGCAAAACTCACACAGAATAGTGATAAACTACCAATACTCTATCAGTCCCCAGGACTTTATTGACTTTTACTTTTGAAAGCATGGATATGTGGTTTTAGCAAAGTAGTAATAGTCCTTTCTAAATTCATTGCCACTTACATTTTTTTTAATATTCATTTCTAATTTGGACCTTAAAGTATTCTAAAAGTGTGCCAATGACTACATGTAGGCCTGAAATATTTTCTTGAGGTAATCTATTCAGTATTGCTTTTGATGGACTTCATACTAGCCTGATAAATTAGTAGTTCCTATAAACACAGTCAAAGAACTTGCCCAGTTATCACTTACTGTGTGCATTTATCACATCTTAAATGTAAAAACTGAAGACCTGAAAGGCTTTCATTCTTCCATTTTAAATACTGGTTGTTCCACTTGTAAAAATTTATTTTAATACCAGCATTTTTGTCTTCTGGAGAACTGGTAGTCTTTCTCTGAACTTTGTCTATAGGACCAGCCTTAACTACAAGCCACAAAGGGGGCCATTTGGGGTTGTCTTGTGTTTTTACATAGAAACATAAGATTTGTCACAATGGATCTGATACACAATTCATCAAATCCACCGTCTCATTCCAGTCAATACTTGATGTTTCAAAGGAATGTGGAACTTACCTGGAATTCATCTGCAATTTTTGATATATTAGAATCAAGAAGAAATCCTTTCTGCCTCCTGTTGCAGTAGCCTATGCAGTGGAACATGACAGTTCATTGGTATTCCTATAATAGCATGAACAAAAATATTCTTATTAGTTCTAAAATTGTTTAGTCCTTAAAATTATGTTACAGGAACAAATTGTGTGATCCCTGAAATGATCCCTTGTACAGATTTACATGTCCATGCTCTTTCTCTCTACTTCTTGTGTGGTTTAAGACTTTGGCACGAGGCTCTTTGGCACAGGGACAAACTTCAGGCAGACTAGCACTGGCCCCCATGTACCATGGATCAGCTGTGCCTCTTGTTCGACAGATGTGTTTTCATTGGAATTAGGCCTGTTAGGAACCAGTAAAAGCAAAATGCAGTCCCGAGCACAAAAGGTCGTTCACAGAGCTTCTCTGAATAAATGAAAGCTTCTCTGAGTAAATGAAGAAGATTCTCTGAATAAATGAAAAATGAATGGTGTATGTATATATGTACTGTCTTGTTATCTGAGAAAGTCACAAGAGAAAATGCCAAGCGAGATGTTTCATATTCTAAGAGCCAACTTGTTAGTCTTAGCCATGGATCTGGGCTTGCAGTAAACCTGCATATTTCTGCACTGATCTCATGACTCAAAACATCAGTTGTGGAAAAACTGAGCACCTGCAACTTGTGTGGCAACAGGAGATAATAAGATATCCCAAGTATGGTTTTGAGCAACAAAATGGAGAAATCCATAAAATCTTTTAATTAGGAAAGGCTGAAGAGATGTAGGTCTTTTTAAACTGGAAAGTATATTTTTTGTCTTCTGCATGTAATTACCAAGGCATGTCTGTGTTGTTCTTGAGTTGAAATGAGTTTCCATACCAACTCAGAAAACTTAAGACCACACCAAGGAAGTATGTTTTTTCTTGACAAGCATGAGAGGCAGGGTAGTTCCAGACTTGCACACACCTATGATGACACTAGGAACAGGTGTTAAAAATGCTATAAAATAGAGATTCCTAGTGCTTGGTAAAAATAGAAAACTGGTGAAATAACTAACGATTTGTTTTTGTAGCGACGAAGCTTTAGGAATTTTTTGCATGTTTCAGAGCAGAGCAAACAATTCTCAGCTAAGTGGGAAGTTTGCAGCATGGTAGCACTTAATTAGTTAAACAATTCTTACTCTACTCTGCTGTACTTCGCAGCAAGTTATCTTTTCATAGGAATATAGTTTTGTACTTATTGCCTGTGCAGCTGATTTATAGACAATTAAATCCATTGCTCAGACAGGGGATTGCTGCTGGTGTCATGTTAGACAATAAGAGCTCCTGTGCTTCTTTCTGTCCACATGAGAACTGCAGAGAATGCATACCAATAAAGATTATATGTAATTAACCATCAAATGCAAAACAGCTTGTAAGAGACTGTTGCAAAGGACTTTTCTTTTGACAAAGGACTCTTGTAATTGCTTGCAAGACCCTATGAATGAATGGAGAATGAATATGAAATTAATGACTTGATATTTTAATAAGAATTTTTAAAATTGTAAGATCATTATTATTTTTAAATTATTTTCTCTAAATGAATGGGTAATGCCACAGTTGTAAAAGCAGCAAAGTAGAAATGGTACTATAAGGATGGATGCCAACAGGTGACCGATAAAAAATCAGTAAGATAGTTTTAGAATAGTATGACCTATGATCAAAGTGATAATCAGGAGAAATAAGGTTAGATTTTGAGCTTATTTGAACTTTTTGGAGATGGACTGGTGAAAGTGAGACTGTACAAGGTGTAAAAAAGCACCATCCGTGGGCCAAGATTTTCTTGTAGGACACCATGCATGTTTGTAAGGGATTTTGAGGTTGCTGGAGAATTCCTACGACACGTCAGCTTTGTGAAGGCTGATGATGGCTGGCTTAATTCAAAGCCTGACTCCCAGGTAGTCTAAAGATGTGGGTATTTTATTACACACTTCTGGGAAAATACAATGTCATCAAAATATCTTCAGCCTTCCTTCTTCAGTATTTGCAGCTGAATGACATGAAGTGCAAACTCATGCCTAGCTGGCAGATACTGAGGACAAATGGCTCAGCTAAATTTGCTACTGCACGATGAAGGTTCAAACTCAGAAATTATCTTATCTTAGATGGATTCTGCTAACATAGGAGAAACAAAGTTGGGAGCTGATGGAGCCCTCCCTCTTAATCTAGGTGGCTGTGAGTTGTGCTGCTGGTTCAGCCTTGTGGGAGGCTCCAGACATGAGTGGTAAGTTAAAGCAAACATACACTACAGCTCCAAGAAAGTAAATGTGAAGGCAACAATTATCCAAATGCTCCCTAGAGAAACATGTGCCTGTACATCATCCAAGACTTGAGCCTGTTAACTTCATTTTTATACTGCATGTATGCAATGCAGAAGTTTGTCATCCAGTAACAGTTCCATCAGAAATAAATGCTGTCCTTCAGCTTTATGTAACCTTCACCAGCCAGTTTTGACTGGCACTAACTGCACAATGATTTTCTTATTGTAGCACTAAGTAGTCTAGCATTGTATTAAAGAAGTGAAAATCATTTTGTTATGGCTTGCAGCTATATGAGCATGCGTTCAGATTGTTTTAAGTTTCAGGACTGTACCGTATTTCTTTCAGTCATACAGCGTACTAATCAATTTTACTAAAATGTACATTTCATTTTATGGTTGAAAAATTGGAAGCAGTTTTTTGATAGTTTAAAACAGCACGTGTAAGCAAAGCTGGCAGGCTCTCACTGATCTACAGGTGTGTTGGCTACATAGAAGCTATACCTTTCACTCGAGGCAGAGCACAGACTTAGAGCTCACCCTGTAATATAACTTCTAGGAGAGCAAAGCATGACGCAAATGAAGTAGGTAGTATATTCACATTTTCTTCTGGCTTTGAGAATACAGCCTTTCTGCCTTGCAGAAACATAGTTCTCAAGGAAATGTTAACTGTTTTAAAACAAAGTGTCAGCGTAAAGATACCATTTAGCACTGCTAGTATTGCTTCCTGTGAATCTGTTTTTTCTTAATATGCTTTGGTCTGCATTCAAATGAATTGTTTTAACAGAAACAGTTTATACAGAGGGATCATTTTAAGCTATTGTCTTCTCTTTGTGGTCACTGGCGTTCAGCCTTTTTGAGTAGAGGAATATAGTCTGTCACATAAAGCGGATATAACACCTTTGTAAACTGTTTTCAGGACCTTCAGTGAAAACCTGCCTGTGTGATACATGCACACACACCAGCCTGACAAAGACAAATGTTTATTATTTGGAAGCGTCATCCTGTATTCACAGAAAACATTTTGCCCTATGACCTTTCATGCAGTTTGTATCTCTTATGGCTGACTCAGTTAATAAAAGGTAAACTTGATCATTTCTACATGCAGCTGTAATTTGGACAGGAACCTACCTAACCAAAACCAGGCACAGATGAGCTGTGCCAGTCTGTTATGTATAAATACAATTAGTGTTTTCATTTCCAATCAGCATATGGTGTATTGCTTGACCTAAAGAGCTTGTGGTTTAAATGAAGTACTGTCTTCAGGTTCTTTAGCCATGAAATCAATGAAATGCATATGAAATTCTGAATTTCACCGTTTTCAGTTGATTAATCTATAACCAGTCAGTACCATATGTTGTTCTCACCCAGTCATCTTCTGGGGTTACTAACTGCAATGTGAATAATGTTTCCATTTCAATTAGCCTGAATAAATGTCATGTATTAAACCAGTAGCTCAAAACTGGATTGTGAATTGGTTAGTTTGTTAGAGGATTAATAAAATACCAAGCCTACGCTGTCTTTGTGTTTTATGCTCCTGGGCAGCTCTGCATGTAGCTTAAAATAAACTGCATCTCAGTGGGTGTTACTGCAAATGGGCATCGGGTGCTAGACCTCAGGGTGACATCTGCTCTGTGTGAGCCTGTGGTGTTTTTTTTTTCCAGGTACCACTGCAGCTGGGCTGGCACAGCATCCCAGCTTTGTTGACCTCTCCCCTGGCGCTGCTCAGGAAGCAGAGCGCTTCCCACGAGGTGGCACTGTTGCCTTATACACCGAAAAAAGCACTTTTTAACTTCAGTTGTGGTTTTAAAAGCAGGCAGCCGAAAGAGGTTTGCAGATACGTGTATAAATGTTACAGATCTGAGCGGCTGATCTACAGATGTCAGACAGAGAGGTAGCTCGCTGAGTGATCTGGTGAGGGTTGCTGCCTGATAAGAATGGGAGAAACCTGACATGTGACCAATAAGCATCGCTATCAATCCATTATTCAGAGAAGCTGGTGTTTGCTTAGAAAGTTTTGGGTCATTTAAAAAAAAAAAAAAAAAGGCCTTTCCAAAGGATATGGTATTTACTGGTAATAGGCTGATCTTTTCAAATACTTTTTACTTAACATGCTCCCCTGTCCCTGAACTGAAAATCACATTGAAAATGTGATTGAACTACTTTCAGCATTTGTCCATTTTTAATTGTTTTTAGTTCTTATCTAGTTCAAGAAAAACGTCAGGTGACAAAGCAGCTCTGTTTTGAGAGATTGTTCAGTTGCAATGGTTGGCTGGAAAGGCTCTATTTTTCTCCACGATTGAAAGAGGTGTTTGCCTAGTAATTTTGTGAAGTCTTTAAATCAGAAGCACTCTCTCTGCCTTCAGCTGTGCCTTCTGTTGATTTTCTGATTGAACACAGGCTCAGTTGCACCTCCTGAGCCATCAGCACGGTGCTGGCAGGAGCAACACTGAACCTGACCATCACTGTAACTGCTTTGGCTAATCGTGTCCTTAATCTTATTAATTGCTGCTTTAAAAATAAGTTTCTTTTGCACCATGTGCTATCTCGTTGCAGTGTTGGAAAAAAAGTTGGAAGCTTTCTTCTGATTCCCAGCCCAAATTTGTTCACTTCCAGGCCGTAGCTCTTTGTTCTGCTGCCAGTATCGCTCTCTATCTGCAGGAGTGCTTGTTCCCTCCTTTGGCATTTGCCCTACTGATGTGTTCCTGGAGACCAATCATCTCTCCTCTAGTTTTTGTTTCTTTAGTCCTAAAAAGCCAATCCTTTCCATCTCCTCTGGAGGTAGAGCTCTTCATTTCCTTGATTACCCTGCTTGAATGGCCCTGAGTGCATTTCTCTTTTAATCCATCTTCCTTGAGCCCAGATGGCTGGGAGTGGTGCTCAGCATTCAGGATAAGGTCCAGCAAGAGCTTTGGATCATGGCGTTTATCGGTTTCATTGTACTACTGCAGTGTCCCTTCAGGAAATGCCATATAGGATCATATCGATCACGTACAATATTAATCTTTTCCACCACACATTGATACCTCAGTATGTGACCTCAGTATTATTATTAATATAATAAGCTTTATATTTTCAATTGTTTCAAACTGATGAGTCATTTTTTCCTCCTACAACGTCAATCCATCACCATACTATTTTTTTGTGGACTCTTGATCTTCCATCTCTAAATGCCTCCCACGGTTATTTTAGAAAATCAGAGTTTAGGCCATCCATTTGCACACATAACATGACAGCGGTGTCTGTGGATGCTATAACGCATCGTGGTGTGTGCTGCTGTTGCTGAAAATGACCATGGGGTGGAGCAGAGTTTAACAACGAACCTCACAGTCTTGGCAGCAAAAAAAGAAACTGCCTGGTGCTTGATGTTACGAGGGGAAGAGTCTTATTTATCACTATTTACATCCACTTTACCAAGAGGAGAAATAAATGCTAAAAATGTCACTACAAACATGTTGAAATACAGAGCATCGCTTAATGGAGAGAATTATCTGTCTTTCACAGAATGTGTCTGTCTTTTCACAGAATGAAATACGAGAAATTCCACGTGCAAAGTATGTAATTTGTGGGCTGGATTGCTTTGCAACAAGGGCTAAAATTCAAATAAAATATTTTGTAAGAAATCTAACTCCTTACCTCTTCAGTGACTAATGACACAGCTCTGATTTCTTGAGAAACGTTTTTATTTTTCTCATTCACATCTATCCATCTTTGAAATTCTCCAGGGGACATTGTGGCCATCTCTGCAACACGTGTATGTTACCTGTCACAGACAAAATACCTCTGTGAAAGTGGTGTCTGCAATGTTCCTGGGTTCGTGCTGCTTCCTTGCAAGTCCCAGGCCACCCAGAGCTTAGAAGACTGCGTTCCCTTGGTCGGATGGCACCTTCCCCAGGCTGGGGATGGTTTGGTCCATCAGTACAAACTATGCAACCGTTAGAAGACTAAAATCAGGCAGGGAGGGAGGAGTAGAAGGAATATGCTCAAAAGTCAGATTGCCTCTCTGCAGAAAGCTTCCTTCCCTAAATCACCCAAGAAACACAAGTGTGCCTTTAAGCAGTCCTGCAGATACACATCCTCTTTACCTGTGCTTTTGAACAGGCTTAAAGGCAGCCTCCGCTGCTCGCCCTGGCGCACATCACAGTGCCTTCAGTGAGCAAAGCTGCTCGGGAGATGTGGCTGAGCCAAGGACAGGAGACAAGCTTTCCCCCCAGCTGCTGTCCGAGAGACTTCTCAGAGCCTGAAAATATGGGCTCTTCTAATGTTTGTTGTTTTATTTTTTTTTAAACCCAGCCTTGTAATAATATCAGATAAATGAAGACTTCAACGCACACTGAAAGATGCCTGAGAGAAATTGCTTTTGGCAACTGCTCCTTCTAATTAAAATGAAAGTCTGAAAAGCCTCAGTCTTTGGGAACAATTAATAGAAAGCCGGCACTGGGTAAGATACAGATAATTCCTTGTGCCTGTTAACTGCTTCCTACAATTAGCACACGTGTGCGCAGCCGAACGCAGCCTGACCCTGCCATGGCACAGAGGAAAGTCTGACTGGAACAAGGGCAGTGCCTGTTGCTTGCCCTTTGCCGCCTGCCTGCCAGCAACAATAACTAAAGCAGCATGTTTCAATGCCCAGAGAACCCTAAAACTGTGAAATGAGATCCCAACATGGGAGAACGAGCTCCCTGGAGGAGGCAGAGCAGCAAAGAAGTGGTAGGATGGATGCAGGGCATTGCCTGCAGACCGTGTTGTGTGCACTCACACACAAGGAACAGCTCCTTTTGGGGCTGTTGTCACTCCCAGGCTGTTGCATTTTTTTGGTGAGCCTACATTAAAGTTGCAATTGTGTAGTCAACACGTGGTGTTCAGACCTTGTCAGACACGGTGAGCTCAGGAGTGCTGCCTCCTGTTTTCAGCCTTTTTTTCTTTTGCCATCCAGGCTGCAGCCCAGGCAAATGTGCTCAGAGGAGGTGCATTGAGAAACTGCAATTAAGCCACGGATGTGAAATCTATGTTGAGAAGTTGTTTTTGCCACTGCCACATCTCTCATGGTTTCAAATTGACTGCCGAGTAGCTGTGCTGCTCCTCCACCTCTGGGCTTTGGTTCAGAGGTGGGATTTTTCCCTGGCTACACTGCAGCTCAGGGTGCCTGCCCTCGCCTGCTTGTCCCTTGCTTTGTGTATAGGAACGAGGACCCGGGCCTACGGCTGCTCTGACGAGGCTCATTCCCCAAATAATTCCTCTCCCAGCCTCCTCTGCCCCCAAAGAAAAAACACCCTTAATCAAATATATAAACACTGGCAGCTTTCAGGTTCGTGTTTCTTTCTGAACCTAATTTAAATGAACAGCAGACATTTTATGGGCTTTTCCAAGTGAACCTACAGGGGCTTATTTGCTAGAGTCTGACTTTCTGACAGCTCTCTGTGAGCCTAATCAGAACCAGACTTACTCTCATATGAAGCAGACGAATATGTATTCACCCAGCTACAAAGAACCAGGCTAAATGGAGTAAGTCATAAACCACCACCATGGCAGCAATCATTCAATTGTGCGCATGTACCGCACGAGGGTTTTGGAACAAGGGCTGCGTTTGTTTTGTTCCCATTGTAAATGGAAAGTTGTGGTGGCGAGGAGCCAAGTGAATGTGCCTTGTGTCTGGAAAATGCCCCACGTGTGCAGGATGGAGCTTGTAGCTGCAATTCGGAGGACACCTCTCGACTCCTCAGCCCACCAGTGGGAAGGTTGAGCTGATGTCTCTCGAGGTGGAGGAGCTCCCAGGTCCCTTAGGAGAAGCTGCACAGCCTGGGACAGAACAGACTGGACAGGACAGACCCCAGAACCAGTCCGGATTTATGGCTGATTTGTCTTGTCTTTGCAGTTTGTCATTCTCCAGTACATAGAACATGTTTCTGAAATGTTCCCAGGCCTTTATTTAGACAAATTCTGGATGAGATAGTGCTGGGAGTAGTGGGGAGACATTAAATACTTAAAGTGTCTTCAAGGAGATTTAAACCTTGACCTCTAAAAGAAGACTTTTTTTCTCTTTCTAATTATCCCAGAGTGTTCCCGTCACATAGTATCACCTCTGTCTGTTCAAGGATTTGATAATTTTCAGTTCCTGACATCTGGAAGAGATTTCTCCTTATCTCGCATGTGCATTTTCATGTGAAATGTGAAAAGAGGTGCTGAACTGATAAAGCAGGGACGTACCTTTGGGCTGGACCAGATGGTGAGGTGCTGTGAGGGAGAAGGCATTTGGCCTAAAACAAGGAGGACCAGCAAGGCAATCTGCAGGGCTGGGCCGACCGGGAGGAATGGTAAAATCCTGTGCACATCAGAGATGTTGTGTTGCATCCTTCACCTTCTAAGAAAGGAATTAAGTTTGTTTGAAGTTAGAGAGGCCTCAAGCGGCTCTGGAGCAGGTGTTTTTCTGTCTAGTTGAGACGTCAGTGCGTCCAGCTTCTCGGTTAAACTGCTGAGTGGTCAGCTATTCCACGCTGAAGTCACAGTTTAACAC